TAATTGAACATCACTTGAATAACCTAACAGCTGATCCTCAACTTTCTAGAAGAATAATACATTCTTAAAAAAAGAATATAGAATCGTGTATTCCTCGAAACGTAGGACATTTTGAAAACTTACTCTAACTGCTTCAATATTTCATGTTTCTAGTCAAATATCTCTTAATTTTTTAGTCATGATTTTTTGTTCCATCAATAACTTCAGCACAAGAATAATTTTATTGTTTTTGAACCTGAATAAATAGGTAATTTAACTCAATAAAATTTATTTTATACCAGCATCATTACTACTCCATTATTTTCAAATCGAAATATTCCGAAAACGAAACATAGTATCGAGTTTCACCAGAAGTACCTTTTTGGTGTAAAATTTAATGATGTTCAAGTACATATTATATTTGGATTGAAAAATCTAACCTCAAAAAGTTATGTTCAAAACTACTCGGTACGAACCGTGTAACTAGCGCCCTCTATGAGAGTCAGATATAAAAACAAATTCATGCGATGTGTCAGATTTCAAGAAACATTCATACAAAATTTCATTGCAATGTTGCCAGTAGTTTCGGAACAATCGTGAAAAATGTGTAGAAAAATAATTTTTTCATTACTATGTATCATGAAAACGGATGCCGTTACGACATTTTTTCACTGATCAAACCTAACTTATTTTGCAATTTTCTACCTACCCTATCGAGGGGGTTAGTTTTTTTTTAAACACCCTGTATGTTCAAGTATTTCATTGACTGAATTCATTCTCAGTTCCCACCAAACCACCACTGATTTATGACTTTAATAGTCAAAGTATTATTTTACATAATTTACTTGCACCTACTAGGATGTAAGTAGACTCCCAGTTTTTTTTTTGTAATCCATGAACAATAGAAGCAAGGGAACTATTTAGAAAAAAAATAGAAGGGGTATGCCCAGATACCTCGTATATCCTTTCGTATAAAGAAATTCACATTTCGTATGCAACCTTCACTAACGATTTGATGATGAACATACGAAACGACATGTTCTTTGACATACGAGGAGAAATGCGAAGATTCAAATACTACTGCTAATGATGATTATATTATTTGTATTCGTTTGTTAGATAAGATGGTATAGTATGAAATGAATTCAGTATCTTGGAAAATACAAAAATTTTGAATGAATCATTGAACACGTTCTTACTTGTTTTTTTGTATATTTCAACTTTAACCTAATGATCACTATCATCGAAGGTGGAGATTTTTATATTTTCCAGTATATTGAATTTCCATGTTCTATAGAAACAGAATACAATCGTTTATGTTGAATTGTTCGGAAGTGAGGAAAAATAATATATTTGTGTCATCCGTGTTTTTTTTTCTTATAAAATAATATGCAATAATATAACTAGTGTCGAATTGCTTGACACCTCGCGATTTCCATATATTTGCACCCAAATGATCTTCAAGCTGTCATTTGACAATAAATCATCCGTTGATCACGTCATATACACGGTGGTCTAGAATTGTCTTTCGACACTTCAGGTGGTGATGTTACATCCGAAAACAGTCACTATTTTCTATAAATTCATTTCCGAAAATAGCTATTAAGGGAGTTGAGGGAGGGGGATAATACATTTCAGTTTTTCCGCAATTTCTTCTGGAATATCAAAATTGTATTTCAAACTTGGATAGAGGTTGCCTAACACCCGTTCACATACTATCAGTCAAACCCTCTCTTCCACTTGATGGGTATTTTTACCGAATAGTTAATTTTTTACAGGGTTTGAATCAATTCAGACTTTTTCGAATCAATTCACTTGCCTGTGGGAAACTTATTATAACTTTGAGAATCTTCATCATTAGAGCTACTTTAAAGTGCGCAATTAAAAAAAAAATGAAGCAATTTGCATTGCCCTCCTATGCAGTACTGTCATTTTGGACAGCAATTGTATTTCGTATAATTGCCAGGCATCAAAATTTCAATTGAGATGTCAAGTTCACTTTAACCAAAAAAACATCTTGTATATTATGAGTGATTAAATGATGCATGAATTTTCGATATTTCATGCAATATTATTTGTACATTATTATGCACATTGAATGTTAATGTTTTCATGGTCTCATGGTTTCTTCAAACACATTAAGAAGTAGAACACAGGTTTTTTGACAAAAAGACATTGCAAGCCGATTATTTTTATTGCCGGTAATCTGATCTGCAGCAATCAATTTGCATGCAATGAAGAATTGAAAATTCTAACGCTGTTAGAAAAGTTAGTTTTCTGCATGTGGACGCTCAGATGTTTATGATGGTCAGGTTGTCATAATGTCATTGGATTTTTCAGTTTTAACTAGTTCAAATTAAGGTAATAATCCGAATTGTTTCCATTAGAGGAAGTTTGAAATAATTCTTGACTTTTAAGAAAAAGTCATTTGAATTAATTGACGAATTAAGTCACTGACTTAATTCATGTGAATTAATTCTCGCCAACCCTGATTTTTTATGACCCATTAGACTTTGTAAAACTGATATTCATTTAGATGGGTATATCTCGCTTTATATCAATTCTCGGTAATCTAATAATCAAGTAAAATGAATAGTGAGTCTGTTTTTAGAAGTACTTTCAGCCACAGAAATATCGGTTGATCATTTCAGACCACTGTGTATATTTCAATCCGTCATTTTGTTTATCTTCAACTTCGTTACCATGAAATATAAAACAAGGTAAAAAAAATACCTTGCATTTGTTAGTGATGCTATTGTTTTACTGGCTTAGAAGCGAACGTTTTAACTAGAGTTTTTGGATTATTATGATTTATTGCAATATAGAGAGTTTCAGAAACCCTTATATAATTAACCTTTTTTCAAATGATAAATTTAAAAACTTATGGATGTCAGAACTTACAATTCTGGGTCGACGTATTAAGGTGCTAATTCTCATCGGAATTAAATCACGGAGAAAAAGCAAAAATAAATTGTTAAATGTTGAATTTGTAATAAATGTCGTCACCTTACCAAAGTGCTAACAAAATATAGTCGATATACGAAGTGGCTTTCGATGTATTTATTGACCAGTCTATATCAACTCTCTTCATTTATATGAATTTTCTTTGGAATCAATTTCATTTTCGGCAACAATTAACAAACTCCGACCGCTTCATGTTCGTTTACCAATATTTTTACAGTTAGAAATTGCACAAACTGCATTTTATTTTTCCTAATTCGTTCACAATTCTGCATACTTTTCTACCTAATCTACTTACTCTAGACAGCCAGAGAAATTTCGAATATGATGTCGTTGAATTGATATTAGCAATGAATTTGTGATCTTTCACGTGGTGCCCCATTCAACACGATGAAGTTGAAGATGTACAGGGTGATTGTTTATATTTCACTCTATAGCTATCTATCTCAGTTAATATTGGTCTTACAGAAACCTACTAGAAAATGCAAAAAAGCATCGTAGACCTAAAAATTCTACATATAACTGGTATTTTTGAATTGTATTTTATTTTCCTGAACAGTAGAGCTCTTTTTTCTGATTTCAAATATGTAGGGTGTCTCGTAATATGTGGGACGCACTTCGAGAGGTGAGAGGGCGTCCCAAGAAAATAAAAAAGTTTCCATCAACAAAAGTCGTAGAAAGCTTCGTTTGCGTGATACAGAATTTTGAAGTTGAAAATATTTGTAGAATTTTTTTATGTCCACCGCGTATGGCTTATCGTGGTCTGTTGAGTGACTGACATAGTGCCACAATTACAGGATGATATCTACCATGGTTATAGAGTAATCTCTATCCGATATCATCGGGCATCCATATCAAATTTTGGAGTTGAATTTCTCGAAAACAGTGTATCCTTACGAGTTTCAACACTTTGCGTTTTTTTTCCTCAAAATCGCATCCTCTTTCATATTTTCTAATAAAATTTCGAAAAGTTGCATTGCCACCCATGTTTTTTTCTGAAAAATCCCATATCATTACCCCTTAACGGTGCCACTGGTAGTCAGATTGACTGAATAATGCTACCAATTTAATCATTCTCAGGTACTGAGTTATGCACCAGAATATCAAGAATTTTTATTTAAAAACATCTAGAAATTCAATGAAAATTATTTTTCATTTCCAACACCCTGTATCTCGCAAACGGAGCCTTCTACGACTTTTGTTTATGGAAATTTTTTTATTTGCTTAAGACGCCCTATCACCTCTCGAAGTGTGTCCCACATATTACCAAACATCCTGCATATTCTTTGTTGAGATTATGTGAAATTTTCAGGTTCATGATGCTTTTTTGCATTTTCTAGTATTAGATTCTGAATGCTCATAAAAAATACTGAATTTTTGCCGATTTGAATGTTTCTGTAAGACCAACATTGACTGAGATAGCTATTGAGTCAAATATAAACAATCACCTTGTACATCACCAAATTCCCAAATCGTAGTTCAAATTGTTTTCGATTAATCGACTGGTTGAAAGCTTGTAAGCCACTTTGTATGAAACACTGATTCAAACAAATTATTCATTTTGTGAAATTGTACAGTTTTTATCGTCACATTTCATTTGCTCTCCACAAATGAAACAACTCATCATTATTATCATTTTTTTTCAAATGTTATGCTATACTCTTCATCTATTAGGTAGACAATGCGGAAAGCAAATGAAAGCTGTTGAATGATAATGATGACCTTTCAGAAAACTATCCATTAATATTCGTAGTTATTGAATTAGACATTTCTTCACGATGTTAAATGATTTCAGTCCAGCCACTAGTTGTAACCAAGCCAGATTTTATATTTGATGTTATAAACATAATAACATATCTATTTATACCTATGTATAAAGTTTAAATCGTATAACTAAATGTGATTCTTATCGGCAAATATATTTTTCGAATAAACTTGGTGTTGGTCTATCTGTCAGTAGCCTATTTGTCCTTCGTCTTTGCCAATAAAATGAAAGCTTTTGTGGTGATGGTGCCTTTAATTTTTTAACGTTCTTCTGAAGCAGTGATAATTTCTAACAGGAAATCATGCATGCCGCTACAGTACCCAATAGAGAGGTGGAGCCAGACACTTCACGTGATAGTATATCAGATAACGAAACGCTGATGTATGAACCTATCAAAGCTACTTCAAACTATTCCGAAAGCTCCTCAGTAGCTTCTCAAGATTTGCCAAGATTCACACCTTCCTATTTCCCTGGCAACATTTACACCAATAGACATTCCATGTACTCCCCTCAGCTGCCTCAACAAGTCGAAATCAATATTTACAACAGCCTGCCGCACGGTATGCAGTATCTCGACTCTTCTGACCATTTCGGCGTTCCCCCTCCACCCATAGACAACTTCCCATTCTCGGGCGGCACCACTCTGCTAGACGACTCTGAGATACCTAGAGTACCCCCTCCACCGCCCCCTGATTTCGAGGATAGCCTGCCCTCGGACCTGCCCCCTCCTTTGCCAGACACTCCTCCACCGATAACCAGCGGAACAAAGAAGCTTTCCACGTTCGTCAGTACTTCGAGCTTGTCCCGTATCCCGGAAAATGAACTGGGAGGTTTTTCCTCGACGGGAAATTATGCTTCTACTTCTGCTTTGGGGCCACAGGTTTCGAGGGTTGTTCGTGGCGAATCGCTGAACAAGGATAGAGTCGCACGCCCACAAATTCCACCTCCGCCTGTACCGCCTCCTATTAAAAAGGTACCGCCTCCCGTTAAAAAGGTACCGCCTCCCGTGCCCGCGAAAACTTCGAAGCTGAGAGCTTTCCGGAGTGAAGAAACCTTGCTGGATGCCGGTGGTCCTGATGAGAGTACGTTTAGTAAGCGTGGTACTTCTAGGCCGGTTTCTATGATTGCTACTAATTTGCAACAGTTTGGATTTCCTAGCGGGAATTTGGGGACGACTAGTACATCTGTGAAGGTAGTATGAATTTGTTTTGTCTATCATAGTTGAGTGCCTGAGCATATTAATATTTTAGCTAAAATAATACCATTTTTCACGAGAAATTCAAGTTTAATAAAAAACTGATTAGGCCATTGGTAATAACAAACTTCACTTCACTAATAAATTACTATTTTTTTTTTCATTACTTTATTACATTCTTCGAATACATTTGCTTTTCAATTAAAAAATTCATACGTGGTGACGATTTGAAAATAAACAAGTAGATTTAATCGCTGTGTTACCTAGAGATAGGGAGAAAATTGTTACGTGTTGATATATGTTGGTAAATTTTTTTGCTACTATTACATACATTTGATGCTTTTTCAGTTAAATGAATTGAACAAGGTGTAAAATGACTCATGAAAGAACCCACCGTCATAATTGGAAAGCTCATGAAATATGCTTTTCAGGTGTATTGAAATGATATCTAGCCATCGTATGTTTTTACAAATTCAAACTCTGTTTGTTTGCACTATTTTCAGTTGCTCTATTTTTTATTTCAACCATATAATGTCTTGTTCAAAATTTTATCTTTACTAATAATTATTGGAGTACTTGAATAAGTAGAATAATAATACATATAATCTAACAAACTTCAACATCTTTGTCATGGCTACTTGGAGAACCAATCATTCATATTAGACTATCAAGGAGAACCAAGCATTTACATCAAACTAACACAAAGTAATATTTCAGACGACAGTTTTCAAAAGCTCATACATTCTCAACAAAATGTCAAAAATATTAGGAACATTTATATACATTTCCGTCGACCTCATATTAACGACTAAGTTTAATGTATATGAAATCGTTCATTAATGACCCCTATTAATGAACGATTTGTCTATTAATGCACGATTGTTTTATAGGCAACCAAACATACACCTCGTGCATTCATTGTTTATGCTATAACTTACGGAATTTGCATTTAAATCGAAAATATGGATTTCATCGACGATTTTCCGTTAACGGGTTCGCCTTTCCAAGTTTCTGACACGATTTTAATCCCTGTTTTCTAACACAAGGAATTTATTTCCTATGTTGGTCATTTCGGCAAATGTCAAATGTCACTAATGTCAGTAACAAGGCTACTGGGTGATTCTTAGCAGTTTCCGGATGGATGATGAATTCGCGAACCAAGTTTTCTTCATTGCAGGAGAAATAAGAAATAAAGTCGACAGAAAAATTTTGTAACCAACTTGTATATTAAAAGGCGATTAATGATCTAGAACATTAACGCGCTCGCTTCGCTCGCACGTTAAAATATCTCGATCATTAATCGCCCTCATTAATACACTAGTTGGTTAAATAACTATTTCCGTCGATCTCGTATTAACGAGTAAGTTTAATGTTCATGAAATTATTTATTAATGACCCCTATTAATGATCAATTTGTCTATTAATGCACGATTGTTTTATAGGCAACCAAACATACATTGCGTACATTCATTGTTTATGCTATAACTTACGGAATCTGCATTAAAATCGAAAATATGGATTTCATCGAAGATTTTCCGTTAACGGGTTCGCCTTTCCAAGTTTCTGACACGACTTTAATCCCTGTTTTCTAACACAAGGAATTCATTTTCTATGTTGATCACTTCGACAAATGTCACTAATGTCAGTAACAAGGCTACTGGGTGATTCTTAGCAGTTTCCGGATGAATGATGAATTCGCGAAACAAGTTTTTTTCATTGCAGGAGAAATGAGAAATATAGTCGACGGAAAAATTTTGTAACCAACTTGTATATTAAAAGGCGATTAATGATCTCTAACATTAACGTGCGAGCGACGCTCGCATGTTGAAATATCTCGATCATTAATCACCCTCATTAATACACTATTGAGGTACACCAAAAACATTAATCAGGTGAACGTTATGACAGAAAAACAATTGAAATATCGATCACGAATAAATAATGAATAATTGATTTATCACACACGAAAATCACAATCATGTCAGCATGTACATTACGGTCGTTTTTTTTTTTCGATTTGCGGATTTTTCAGCAACACATATATTTTTTGTTTCAACAGCCGCCTCAATCACCAACTAATAACCCCGTAAAACAATCTGTCAGCGATAGGAAAAAATTTTTCGAGACTGCCATGGAAAAAAGCCAAAAACCGTCTAAACAAGGTAAAGTTTTTTTTTGTTTTTCTGTACAAGGATGTTCATGAGTAACTTTGCTTTCAGACAAAGTGTTCAGCTATTTGAGTGCCGACGAACTTGAAAAATTGAAAGCAGAGGAGGACAGAAAAATAGCCACTCTTTCTCATTCAGAACTACTGTCCCTACAGGAACTAGAACATTCTGATGGGGAATCAGTTGATCCTATAAGTTCAAGGTAATAGAAGTAGTTCGTATTTATTTTATTGTGTAGAGGAATCAATTATTCAACAGTAGACCAATGCAAAGACTCAACTGAGAGATTCGGAATGAATGAAGAGAGCGGCTGTTTCGGTCCACCGGGCCTCATCAGCTGCTCTCAGTCTGAATACTGAATGAACTTGACGAATAGTACTAGAAATACAGTTCTCAACATACTAACTGGACCACTCATAATTTGACTCTATTTCGAAGACCTTTTTTTTTTTGAAAAAATCGACCGATCTTCATGCGGTTTTCGATATCAGATGCGATGTTCCATCGGCTTCAAAGAGAGCTAGAACACTCTGAAAAAGTCCGCGAAACAAAACTTACACAGGGTGTAAAGCGGAACCATTACACTATGGTCTACATTTCCAATGCTGCCAGAACTCGAGAAATTTTTTTCTGATCGAAAATCAGTCATATGGCATATGGTACACTGGGACCTCATCTCGGGACTTTCTCTAGAACTCCACTTGAGCTGACTATTCGGAAGAATTGTTCTCATGTTTTGTGGAGGACAATGAAAGACGAAAAAAGCACTATTGTGGAATATACAGGATGATAAGAAAATAGGACAAAATCTCATTTCAGTAAAAAAATCAAAAATGGTGACTAAAACCATGGTCCATTCGATTCAGTATATTCAGAAACGGCCTCCTCGATATCCATTATTTATATTAGACTATTGACTCGAGAAGTTTTCGAAAATTCGAAATACAGGATGAAAATTCTTAGAAACTTGTTTCCTGATATCGATGATTCTTGTCAACAGATTTCCAATATTTATTGCCCAAGTATGAGCCACAGAGTATTACTGTTCAATATACTGAGTGTTTCACAACTCATCTGACAAATTACGAACTCTAGAAAACAATAATGTTAGAAGAATGTGGTGACCAGCATTATCTCCAGATCTGAATTTGATCAAACATGTGTGGAGCCGAGTGAAACTTGACCTATCGAGAAGGCGAGATGCATTCCAAAATAATGACAATCTTATCCAAGCTGTATCATAAGAATGGGTGGCAATATATCAATAGACTTCATCAACAACCTCATAGAATCTATGCCAAATCGATTTCATGAGGTTTTGTTAAATCGGGGAGGCCCTACCAAGTACTGGAATTCAGGATATAGGACTTTCTAGTTGGATCTTTATAATGCTGACGAATTCACTAATGTCATATTCCGCCAATAGAACGAATAGTTTTAGTGGATATAAAGTGTTTCCATCTCGTTTTACTTCTATAAAATTTTTATGTGATGGACTTCTTATGTAATATCGTAGTTGTGGTTGAAATCTGGAGAGAATGCTGGTCTCCACATTCTTCTAACATTATTTAGACAAATTTATGTGAAGTCAGTGCTGATGTTCATCTTCTCAAATAAGTCATCCTACCTAAATAAACCTGATCACTCTTATGACACTCGAAGCATGAGAATAAGGAACGCTTATGTACCGAGAGTCAACAAAGCGCTAGGACAACGATCTCTAATGTATAATGCGCCAAAACTATACAATAACGTTCCGGAAAATATAAGATGTATCGAATCAAAGCTTTTTTTCAAGAAAACTATAAAAAAATGGATCCTACAACGTGGAAGAGCATACTTTCACTCGATTATAGATTGAACAAACCCCTTATTTCTTTCATTCCAGTTCCATTTCATGTTATTCATATACACATATCAAGCAGACTTTGTTTATTTTTCAATTTTTCAAATCTTAAATTTTTCAATAATCAATTTTCATATAGCAAATAAATAAATTCTTGAAAGCAAATAAACATAAACCTCTCCATAGACAGTCCCCTCCAGGACTACATGGCGTTTCTGTTTATTTACTTGGTATTTATACATATAATATGTTCTGTAAACATTTTCTTTTTTGTTTGTTACCTAGTAAATAAACATATTCTATTCTATTCTATTCTATTCTATTGTTTTCTAGAGTTCGTGATTTGTCAGATAAGTTGTAAAACACTCAGTATATTGAACAACAATACTCTGTGTCTCATACTTGGGCAATAAATATTGGAAAGAAGTTGACAAGAATCATCGATATCAGGAAACAAGTTTGAATTGAACATTTTCATCCTGTATTTCAATCTCAGGCGAATTTTCGAAAATATCTCGAGTTAATAGTCTGATATAAATAATGGATATCGAGAAGGCCGTTTCTGAATATACTGAATCGAATGGGCCATGGTTTTCTGTCACCATTTCCTGTTTTTTTTTTACTGAAATGAGATTTTGTCCTATTTTCTTATCATCCTGTATATATTCCTCAATAGTGCTTTTTTCGTCTTTCATAGTCCTCCACAAAACATGAGAACAGTTCTTCCCAATAGTCAGCTCAAGTGGAGTTGTAGAGAAGAAATTCAAGAAATGCAAGACTTTCGAAAAACAAATCGAATTTTTGTTCCTATGGCCAATCAAGGAGAAATCACGAAAACGTCCCGAGATCAGGTCCCAGTGTATCATAATATGACTGACTTTTGATCAGAAAAAAAATTGTCGAGTTCTGGCAGCATTGGAAATGTAGACCATAGTGTAATGGTTCCACTTTACACCCTGTGTAAGTTTTGTTCTGCGGACTTTTTCAGAGTGTTCTTGTTCTCTTTGAAGCCGATGAAATATCACATCTGATATCGAAAACCGCATGAAGATGGGTCAATTTTTTCAAAAAATACAGGTCTTCGAAATAGAGTCAAATTAAGAGTGGTCCATTTAGTGTGTTGAGAACTGTAGTACAATTGTACTAGCAGGAACATCCCTGGCGATAGGTGCAAAATTACCACATGATATTTTGATGTTGCACAGTGCACACACTGCATTTTCGACCGCTTCTTCCAGTAGCCGACCGTCGAGCACGATCGGCATCGTCCGCACGGCCAAGGCGGAAAAGCGAATGCGCGACCGGCTGCGCGACGACGGCCTCACCGACGACGACGACGACTCGGTGGGCGTGAGGGGCGGGCTGTCCCCGGCGGCGGAGCGGGCGCTGCGGGCGGAGAAGCGGGCGGCGTGGCGGGCGGCGCGGCTGCGCTCTCTCGAGCAGGACGCCGTGCAGGCGCAGATGGTGATCGAGCGGATGACTGAGGTGGTGGGTGGCGGCACGCCGGTCGGCGGTGACGAGGTGAGCATAAGAATTATAGCGACTTCCATTGGCTTGAACTGGTGGAGGGTTTCTCCACTGAGTGTATGTTTACCTCTGTTTAACACATGTTGGCCGTGGGACCACCATGTACTCACGGCGTCGGGGTGGCGATTTTACTAAATATACTGTACGCTAGCACAAACCACGCCCACCGTAATATCTCATCTTCGAAGTACTTAGGCAAAACTCAGAGACTATTTATCCTTAACGAACTAACCTATCCCTGATTGCAATATTTTTGAGGAAGGAAAACCGAATGGAGTGTAGAAACACATTGATTAATAATATATTTCAAAAGTTGAGTTCTTCAACAAAATCGAATAAAATGAGACTGTTTATCCTAAACGCACTAACCTATTTGACTTCAAATATTCTATGAAAGAAGAAAACCAGAATGAAGTAAAAAAACATTGGTGAAAAAAAAAGTTGCAAAAAAAGTTCAAGTTCACAGCGATTCAAACCATGGACCTTCAGACTGAAAGTCGACAGCACTAACCAGTAGACCATTTGGGTGTATGAATTTACTGCGTACAAGAGATTGACAACGAGAGAGCTTCAGTCGAATTCGTGTCAAAATCATAAAAAGTGTATTCTTGCGTTGGAGCACAGTATATTTAGTGCGATGTGCTGACTCCGAGTATATCGGTAATGTTTGGAGATATGACGTATTATGGTGGGCGTGGTTTGTGCTAGCGTGCAGTATATTTAGTAAAATCGCGTCGGGGTGGGGGTAGCCTCAGGTACCTCCAGACACCATTAGTTGAAAGCTTGAGGTCCGCACTCTTGTCATGGTAGCGGTACGTGGGAAAGGTCGCGAACGGACACCCCACAAACGGTACTGGAGGATTCCGGTCGGCATGGGTAGCTGGGCTCAGCGAAAAATGGAGCTTTGGTGTACCTTGTGCCTTAGTTTGTCAGCGAGGGCCGGGATTGGCGCAGTGGAAGAGCGCCCGTCTCACGACCACAAGGTCGTGGGTTCGATTCCCAGCACGGGCAAGGAACTTTTTTCAATATTTTATTTGCGAATTAAATATTGTAAAGTTTCGGAGCATCGGCTGGGGATAGTCCTGCACGATTCGCTTTTGCGCATGGAGTTAGTAACAAAGCCTACACAGAACACGCAGAAAGATATGATGATGTGGTTGTGAGCATCAGAGAAGAAGTAGGACGGTGTATGTAGGTGGGTGTGGAAAACTACCAGCTGAGCGTGAGAGCGGGCCAGCTGCTTAGTAGACCTCGGTCTCGGGGGTTAACGAGGATAGTTAGCAGGCCTGCCACTGCGCATATGGTAGTGAGTACATTACTAGCCTACAAAACACAGCTGAAAAACTCTGAAAGAGAGCTGATGGGCGGTGCCAGAAAAGGATGTTAGCCAGCTCTCTTGAGCGAACCACATCAGTCATTGAAAACACTTGGGGTTTGCAAAAAGGTCCCATTGGGGACTAGTTGCTGACGTGGAAACGTCCCCCACCAGTACCAGTACCAGTAGTTTGTCAGCGAGGGGGTAGCCCCAAGCGATCCTATCGCCAGTCATCGTTGGCAAAGCCGGGTCCTCTCATGTAAACGAGGTAGAGGAACGTGTAAAAGTCCTCGAACGATCACTCATTCAACGGGACGAGAGAATTCTTGTCAACATGAGTAGCAATCAGGCCAAAGCCTCTTGCGACAGCGACTCATCAAACGTGACAAGAGGAATCTTGTTGACATGGGTACCTGGGGTGATGAGGATAGCCCCATTAGGTCGTACATACGGCCTGGTGCCTCTCCAATCGGGTTGGACTCCAGGGGGCAGCGGTTTCCGAAAAACACCACCGGGCTACGCTAGAGGAGGTAAAGAAGAATCCCACTATGGGTAAAGTGGGAGGATATCTTGCCTGCCTTGGCTTGTGCTCGGACAGACGGCCTCACCATTGGTATAATAAAATGGTAGCAGGAGAACATGCCGTTACATAACGGAGATGGCTCTAGTGCGCTGATTTGGCGTATCCAAATCCTCCATTTCTCCCTGGGGTGCTGTCGGTGTGAGTCGAGAGACAGGTAACCGGCAGTCATCCCCTATGGAAGTCTTGTGAGAGGGTGGGGGGTGGTAATTGGTTCCACCTGTTTGCTACCCCGACAACGTATTGATCTTTGATCATTACTTCTGAGTGTATATTTACCTCTGTTTAACACATGCTAGTAAGAAGGAAACATACAGATTGAGTGCAGTAACACTCCACCAGTTCCTGTTAATGGAATTCATTAATCACGTAGGTACTGAAGGGTGAGTCGAAGTGATTAACGGAAAACTATTTTTTGTATCTCGGAAACGAAGTAAGTTTGGATATACTGGGTGCCCGGAAAAGTCATGTTGCAAGTCCATACATAAGGCATGCTTATCATTACTAAACACATCCATGGTGTTACCAAAGTATTGAATACTGTCAAAATAATGTGATGTCAATTATGATCAATTATGACAATGTCTGCAACTACCCATGATGTTATTGAAGAAATAGAGTTTTAATTACCTTTGAAACTGTTGAAATGCATTTTATTTGAAAGGAACAAGATATCGATTGAAATAAAGTATACTATTTTTGTGAAAAAAAAGATTGTGTAATCATACGGTGGATGCAAAATGTCAAATTTGTCACCTCTGTCAAAAATATCTGCATTGAAAGGAAAAAAATCATTCAGTTGCCCGAATATTATTGATACCATGGCAACCGTTTGAAAGTTATACAAGAAAAATATTTTTTGTATACAAACTTTCAAGGTCAATAACTCCGTTACCAAGTGCGATAGACATTTTTTTTATATTCAGTACCAACATTATTTTGGCTCATTCTATCTTCCCTGTCATTTACGACAAGACATTTCTGGAAACCCGGTATATTTTTGAAAAAAAAAAACATCTTATTTTGACTTGAAAAAATGGACTCTTCATGTTTTGCGATTCAACTTTGGCTCACCCTGTATAAAAACATTCCACGTTAAAATGTTGTTCCTGATTATAACAACTCTACAATGATTTTATTTCAAACTGATGTGATGTTATCGAAATAATTCAGTCTTCAATGAAAAAATAATTTAGTCCTCAATGAAAACAAAACAGGTAATTATATTCGAATTAAGAACTATTTTGGTGGAACCATTGTCAGAATTGATTAAGGTATATTTCTACATGAATCAGAATATGCTTCATTAAGAGCTATATACAAAAGTGGAGATATTCAAGATCCAGAAAACTAGACCAAATGACTTATTGCAATTTTTTCTAAAATTGTTTTCATTGGTAGAAGTTTTGCAATCTGTTCCCAAGAATGAGAAATTGACATAATTCTTTTCGCCGGAACGCTTACTCAAATTTCAAAATCGTAATTTTAAATATGTGCATAAAGAATGAATCGAGACTATTAGGTGTCTCCCTGAAAGAATTAAATGTCAGAATAATAATATAATAATAATAATGTTTATTTGCATACAAATATAAAATGATTTTTGGGCATTCCTGAGGGATTGACAAACCATTGAAAAATAATAATTTATATACATACATTTTCAATACAAGTTGGTTCAAAAATGAATATAGAGCTTTTCTTCTAGCACAGTGGACTATGAAATCAATAAAGTGGTAAATAAAGTGTTTTTTGAACATGATTAATCTTGTGAAAGCTGTTTAAATACCGAATAATCATCAAGCCCAAGTCGTTCATTCCTGGATCTTGAATTTGATATGCTGAAGCCGTGCATTTTGTGGGAATATTTTAGACAATAATGGTCTTTTACTTCCACCGAGTCCTAATAGTTATATTGCATCTTTGAATGTGCATGAGTAAGTGTTCATGATTAATGTGTTTAACTCGTAACTTCGATTGGAATGTCGTACTAACAGTAATTTAATTTTGATTTTTTAGCCATTCATCTATACTTCACTAGATCATGAGTTATAATATACCTACATTTTACTTACATACCCTAAAAAGTACGTCTTTTATTTCATTATGGATATATTTCTGACTCCATACTACCTTTTGGTGTTTTGTAATTTCATCAGAAGGCTGAGCTGAAAACGGTCAAAATGTCTGCTCAGAATATTTGTCAATTTCACACTTTCAGTTCATTTTTACTAGTAGATTCAGTATTGAAAGTTGTATTCGGGTAATATCCTTGATTATATACACTAACAAGTTGAACTATCCTTATGAGAACAATGAATGCTGATATTCTATTCAGTAGGTGGCGGCATCTATGAGCGACAAGGTGAAATACTTTTTGTTGAGTAGCTCAGGGTAGAGATCGGTAATGCAGGATATATTCAATGTTAATTTTCAGGTTTTTTTTATGCAAGAAGGGATGTCGCATCAGGAGCGGATTGAAATATTTCTATTTAAAGTCCTTCAGAATATTTTTTTTATGTACTGGTTCCCACGAAAAAGGATATCCTATAATGTTCAGAGAACATCGTGAGAACCAAGGGAAATGAAGTAGGAATTGGTGTACTTCTTGAATTTCTGGAGGTTATGTGCCTCGAGGAACACCTCCCTTGGCAATGTATTCCAGAGCCTCGCTGTTCGTTGGATGAACGAGTCTTTGGAAAGAAATGTTCTGCAGGTCTCCAAAGTGACCACGAAAGAACGCGAAGTCTCAACTCGACGGGTTAATCTCGCGGGGACTGCAAAGGGAGGAACAATTGTTGATGGTTTTTGGGATGCACTTTTAGCAATTGATCTCACGTGATTTTCCCAAGAAAGGTTATTGCTGATAGTGATACCAAGCATCGAAATGGGTGTCTTCAAAGGTATGGTTAGACCTGAGAAGCTTATGGCAGAGAGATCGGCTTTTCTAGAGAAAAGGCACGCTTGTGTTTTGTCTGCATTGAAATATACCAAGTTATTGGATCCCCATTCGTGAATTGTTGCCAAGTCCATATTTATGTTGTCAACATTTCTCCTTCGTTCGTTTCTGATTCGCCTGGCTGGTATTGGAGCCCTGGAAGAGAAGCCGGTATTGAGGGTACTATCATCCGCGAAGCTGTGTACTGGACATGAAGTTGCTTCCAACACATCGTTGATATGGAGTAGAAATAGTGTTGGCGCTAGAATTGATCCTTGCGGAACACCAGCATCTATAATAAGAGAGTCAGATGAAACTCCGTCGACCACTACATGGAGAGGCCTGTTGGAAAGAACACTAGCTAGCAGAGAACATAGCTGGGGAGGCAAGCCATAAGATGGAAGCTTGGCGAGGAGTCCGTGGTGCCAGACTCGATCGAATGCCTTGGAGATATCAAGTGCCACGGCTAAGGTTTCACCATACTTCTCAATAGATTGCTGCCATTTATGTGAGACGTAAGCAAGCAGGTCACCAGTGGATCTCTGATGACGGAAGCCATATTGCCTATCGGTGATAGGCAATATGGCTGAATGTTCCAGGTATTTCATGAGATCGATGTTGATAGCTTTCCCCATGATCTTTGAAATAATAGATAGCAGTGCGATCGTTCTGTAGTTGCTAGGTAGATTCTTTTTGCCTTTTTTAGGAACTGATTGTACTCTTGCAATTTTCCAGTTGGACGGGAATATCCCCAATTTGTAAGAGTAATTGATCAAAATTGGTGCTTTTCCTGCTTCAGAAAGAAGGACATTCCTAGATAGTTCAGCAACTTGCAGATAGATGAACACGAGCGGATTTCGAGAGTATAGACAAATCGGCCGCTCCTACGAACCAGCCAAGAACAAAGGCCAATTTTGTTAGTGTAAATAATCAAGGCTAGTATCAAAGCATGGCCAGAGCTGAGTAACCCGACCTTATAGAGTTAGGTGTCCACTTGGGGTCACTTTGACAAGCCCAATTTCATTAGTACACGAAACATAACCGCGGCCATCTTTCCATGCTAATACTTCTCTTGACCTTCTCAATCCCCGCCTCCAGTCGGATACTAACCGCGTTGCATGCGATATCGAGTTGCGCCCGTCGAGCGCCGACTTCCCCAAGCTGGAGGTGCGCGAGAAGCCGAGCGGCAAGATGGCGCAGGTGGTGCGCGAGAACGAGACGGTGCTGGACGAGAAGGTGACGCGCCGCACCGAGGAGTACGTCGACGAGCGGGGGGAGGTGAGGGTGCGCACCGTCGAGTACGTGGAGAAGACGATCGAGAAAGAGGTATAGAGTGTGAGAGAGTGCGCGCTCGATAGTCAGCATGGCATCCCTCCTTTGTGCACTTTTGTTGGTTAGTTGTTTTTTTTATTACACCGTTTTTGTTCTGTGCTTTGTATGTGTAGGGTGGTGGTTTCGCGTGGTGGAGTGTCGATGTCGTTTAACATTAGAGCAAGTTCAGGCAGCGTTGAGACAAAAAAATGTCTTCTCTAGAGTGAGTAGATTAAATAGTGTCCAAATGACTGTTTCCGGAATGTTATTCGTGGTCAAGTGGCTGAATAGCTAAAAATCTGAAGGCCATGTAGTAATGAATTTGCGACTTCGAAGTGCCCTCATTATATAAGGTTTAGATATTTGATATTTTCATTTCATCATCTGAATAATCTGAGACTTACGTGTTCAAAAAGATGAATTCTAATAGTCAATATCTAAGGTACTGATGTATTGAGTTTCATGTCTGATTGTTGGATGTTTTGTGTCCAAAGATCGAAAAACAGAGAGAAAGCATTGACAAAGTGATATAGAATGCGTAGAACTGAATGGAGAAAACAAAACAGATGGATGCACATTCATATTAGAGGTCTGAACAATCAAAAAGTGAACAACTATTGTTGTCACTCCGTTTATAAAGTCACTCTAGTATTCCCAATCTGTCCTTGCTTTCAGTGTTCCAACGTAAGATAATGGAAACATTACGTTTGTAACATTGGAAATGGGACAAAATTGAGATCATATTAACCTTAATAAAAAAAGGTTGAAATGATCTTCGTCTCAATTTCCTCTCATTTCCAGTATTGCCAACATGAGGTTCTCATTATTTTATGTTGAAACACTGAAGACACGGACATATGAGGAAGACATTGTTTTCTCTCCCAACGCTAGCTGAACTGCCTGTTGTAGACTTCGTTCCAAGTTGCCAACCTAACAATGTCTACCAATGTTGAAGCAACATTAGGGAAGTTTGATTACTCAAATCGCTTTATTTTGAAATAGAGCATACTTCCGCTCTCTATAATAAATCATTCAGGAGAAAAATAGTTTTTTGTGAATTCCATCTCGGGTTGATCAAAAACCATGTTGGTGCATCTGCGTGAATCCATAGGTTTGCAATAATAGCAAATCAATAGTTATCGTCTGGTTAATGAATTGTGGTTTCTCATGGAGTTATTTTAACTTTCATTTTGTTTCTGGTTTGTAGATTGTGTTGTGTTTTTCTGTATTATTTATTCAAATCTGTTTTCAAAATATGATATTGTTGTTTTCCGATATTATTTGTGGACCTGTTTGAGGTGAATCGTCTGTGCCTAAATAGTATTTTTCTAATCTTGACATGTAATTCAACACTTTTCAAAACTGACGGGAATTTTGAAACGTCTTACTTCACGTATTAAACAGTTGCGTGAAGTGAAACTCAGTGTTTGCTTCGTTCGTCCCCCAAAATCCCATCGTCACACAAAATGACGTGTTTCCTAACTGGTTTCGTAAATATCTATCAATGAATGATTTTATCGACCTGTTGTTATTTTTCAAAACTCATCAATTCGCGGTAGAAATTAACACGTCGTCTTACTTGACGGCAAAAACTTGAACACTTATGAGCGGTTTGTTATGATGATATGACCAATAAGCACAGACATAAAACAAATGTGAACCAATGAAATCAAAGTAAACAGACTGCTTTGGCAGCTTTCAAGAACTGCGATGGGTGGTGTACGCCATCAATAAATGAATAATCTGAAATGAGTGACAAGATTGTGATGAGAAAAATTTACGACAAATTACATATTTCAGAATAAATTGAGATGCACCAACTAATCCGAGATGTAGTTGAAAAAAAAACTAATTTTTCAGTTGAAGATCAGGTTTCATCAAAATAACGCCATTTAAGTAATAACACTTACATAATGTTACTTTCGACATTGGTAGACTCTTACAGGTTGGCGTCATGGGATGAAGTATCCCATTAGAGAGCTCCGATTCAACATTTAAAGGAATATGATTTTATATACAGCGTGTCTCACTTTAAACGGCCCCCCTCTATATCTCAGTTATTATTCATGCGATTCCAACCAAGTTTGGTGTGGTACGAATAACCATCAATATGATCAGATTTACAGAGATGCACATTATTTTGGACAGTGCCGTGCGATTTTATTGAACTAAAAAGGGGTCGATTTTTCATAAAATCATATTAGAAATAATTTTACAGGAAATCTAACCTCATATTATTTTTCCTTATGCTTTCGTATCTCCATATGCAGAAAATCACCTAATTCCGAATTAACAGGATTGGCTTCATTTTTTTCATTTTCAGTCTCGAATAAATAGTGACTTCAAATCAACTACGAATTTTGGAAAGTTCAATGGCTCCGGTAGGTGGAAAATCATGATTTGAGAGGAAAAACTAGTTATACTTTTTTATGTTGAAATCATCGATTCCGAGTAAATAATAATTATTACGTTCACAAAAATGATGTTTAGATGTGCCTGTTTTTCTGAAACCCTTCTTAGGCATCTTATGAAAATCCACATATGTGGGTTTGAAACCATGAAGAACAAATTTATGAGGTCAGTTTTCCTGTGAAAAAATGTCTAATATGATTTAATAAGAAACTGACCCCTATTCATTTCAATAAAAACGCACGGCACTGTATAAAATGATGATTGTCTTTGAAGAACTGGTCATATTGATGATTATTCATACCGATACAAATTTGTTAAATATCGCACGACTGATAGCTGAGATATAGAGGGGGGGCCGTTTGAAATGAGACACGGTATACGAATTTTCAAATTTTTTTTCTGAGGGCTACCAAAAAAAAGATTGGTAGCATGGGAAAAAAGGATTTTATGGATTTGTTATTTTACGAAAATTATCGTCATCGACACTCTTAGAGTGATCAGCTATCAGATAATAGCCAGTTTTCATACTAACTTCATTATTAACCTACCTTAACAGATTAACTTCTCCTTTTGTGATGGTATTCCTGCGGTTATTTATTGTTGTATTTTTGCGAAAATCTAATCTATTTTCAGGTACGTTTAATGCAATTTTCAGTTAATAAAGAGTAGACTACCTACTTGCTTCGCAATAAATGCTATTTACAAAATATATCTGCTGTAAATAATTCATGATGTGGTACAAATATATTTTTCTATATTTTCAACTTGTTTTGAGAGCTAGAAACAAAACTCAATCATCATTAATCCAAATAAACAATAGGCAGTTGATAGTTTCAACGAATAAAAAAAATCACAAATAGAGCTCAAAAACATTCAACATTTATAGACATTAATCTCTCTATATACATTCATCAAGTATGACGTATGTGTTCCCTGTAGACTTTGTTACTGACTCCAAACGCCTTCTGCTTAGGAGAAGCACTGTTGCAATGGAACCATCTCCGGTTGAGGCTACGAAACTTGATGATTCATTACTCGCATTATGAATTAAATAGTCTGCTCTACGCTGGATAATCTTGAGACCCTCAGCTCATTAGTTATTATATTGCAGGTGGACTTCAATGTCACCTTAAAGAATTCTAACTTCATATTTGACCCTTAGATTTTCCCCAAAACAAAACTAAAAAATGAAAAACCTTTGCCCTGACTCACTATATTTTGTTGTAAAAAGTAATGTGGAAAAGTATTTAGGGTTTCATGCCAGCATACTACTAATCTCAGAAATTCATTAGGTGGAACAAATTCAGGAAAAAATAATATCTCTGGAACTAATCAAACCAGAAGATTTGAAACAAGATCTGATCGAGAAGTCGATAGAAAAGTTGGAGGAAGTTGATGAGGACGAGAGCCTCTCGGAACCGCCCACTCCAACTCAAGATCAAGAACAAAGCGATTTCACGGATGCATCGATAAATAAAAAAAGACGGCGAAGAAAGTCCAAAAAGGGCAAAAATTAGTATTGTTCACATCTGAATTTTAAAGTATTAATCATGTATTCTTCAACTCTGATTTTAAATTGATTGTTTGAGGACAATTAGTATTTTATTTTTCAACAACTATATTTATCAAATTTTTTCTCACATCACACGATTGTTTCACCGAGGTGATTGGGATTTTATTTTACAATATTGAATTATATTATTTAATGTTTTTAAATTATTTGTTTAAACTATATCAAATATTTAATTGTAATTTTTACATATTTTATGTATTTTAATCATAGTTAATGTATGTATGATACGAATTATTCCAAGGCTTCATAACCTTCAAAATCTATCCTTTTTTATACCTATTTTTCTACTGGTGGTTTCCTTCACAGTTTTTAAGGCAAATATGACAATACATATACCTACAGTGCTTTGAATCAGATATAATATATATTTATATTATGTAAGTGATAAATGAGTATTCAATAAATATGTACATTTTAATTATCAGTTCATTTCATCATAACTAAAATATGGTATATTGACGAGAAACCAAATTATCACTTGCTTGTCACTTTGCCACTATTCCGATTTCCGATTTTTTGACGCCTTGAGACGTGTTTGCTTACTATTTTAGCGTTTTCAGAAGAAGATTTATAATAATATAATTGATAAATTGATAATGGGGAAGACCACTGATTTTTTAAAACGACATTATCGTGAACTCTATACTGAAAAACTACCAGTGAATTAATTTTGAATTTTTTCATTCATGCTAAGACGATGACCAAAATTAATTAGTATATGTCCATTTCAAAACACACAATTCCTGCGCCATTTGAAATTGCATCAATTCATTGGTGTGACTGGTGCGACGTCTTAGTCCCAACACGCCTATTGTCCTTGAACTGACCAATTACACTGCAACACTGCAGAATGACGAGGTATCAGAGAGAGATAGCTATAGTTCGGGACTAATACGTCACGACTCCACCATCATATTTGGCTGTTTGAAATATCGAATGAAATATGCTGATTTCAAAACGATATAGATTCGATTCCCTTCAACTTCAACTCATAATATTGATTGTACATAAAATATAAATCATGATTCGTCGATTGAAAGAGGTTTGCACGGATTTCTTCCCTCAGTGGTCTTCCCCATTATGATGCGAATAACTGATGAAGAATCGTCCCCTGAAAATGCTAAAACTGTTAGCGACACAGGGTTTGAGTTGAAAATTTCAATTTTTTGTTCACAGTGGCAAAACAATGCATGGTGGTGTTATCATTGTGCTTTGTGTTTAACACGTGCGTGGACTGTTTCCACTTCATCTGCTTGAATGACAAAAATAACCAAAATCACAGTCTCCTATCAACCCAAGGTTTCAAGTCCTCCGCCAATGGATACTAGAATGCTGACCAAGTTCAACATCACTTTTACCCAAATTGTAAGCTACAACTGAGGGCACTGACTCCGTGTACGTTTCCGACTCCTCCTCACTCTCCTTGAAATTAATGGTGTACAGAAACAAGAACAATGATAAAACTTAGTTTAAATATCATGATCAAGTATTTCACAAGAAACTACGATGTTTAACATACAGTTTTCAATAACAATTCAATTTGGCATCTTACCAACTACAGAATGAAAAAAATTACCAAAAACACAGTCTCAATAAATAACTCTCTCAATCTTTCAATACAAGGTTTTGCGAAGTCCTCCTTCGCCAATGGATACTAGAATGCTGACCAAATTCACCACCATCACTTTTACCCGAATTGTTATTCACTATAACGCTAGTCACAGCTGCGGGCCCCAACTCCGTATACATCTTCGACTCCCCCTTCTCACTCTCCTTGAAATTATTCGTGTACAAAGCCGGCACCTTGAACTTGATGTTCTTAATCATGGCGTGCTTCTTATTCTGGAAGGAGGTTTCGTAGTGCAGCGGCCTGGTCGAGTTCGGGTCGAGGATCCTCTGGTAGATCTCCTGCGTGGTGGGCTCCGCCGGGCGGACGACGTGGCGCTGCTGTGTTGCCAGACCGCTGGGATCGAGGATCTTCTGGCAGATGTCTACGGACTCCGCCATATCGTAGGCGATCTGGCTGTGAGAACTTGATACATTGTCGAAACCTCTGCAAAACGCAATAATACGAAATTTCACGAGACCGCCAAGGCAACGTTGGAAGGTTTCCGACACAGAACTCCTATTTGTATACGACTAGAACGCGCGATCAGTGCTGCCGTTCGCAATTTTTGATTGCTTACTGAAATTCTCATAGAAAAGGTACTGAAACGTATGGCAACATTGGCAACAAATAAAATACATAGAGAAGACCGAAAAAGTCAGTCAGGACAAGTCATGACGTTCAAACTGGGGAAAACATGTCTAACTTTCAATCTATGCCAGAGGAGTTAGGAATGTTTTCTCCCAGTTTTAACGTCATTGCCACGTCAGATAATGACCTTAAAAACCGCGAATTGACATATCCTTGTACCACAGTAGTTCAAGTTGAGTTTCTTGTCCATAGATAATCCGTAAGAGGCGCTGATATCGTCATATTTCTAATGGTCATCGGACCAAGTAACAACAATCACGACAAAAAAATACAGAAATGGTGTGAGGACGTTCATTTTTGATAGTGTTCAAGGAAATTATGATAATTGAGTTCCAATTTCCATTTTAAAGAGAATTCGTACAGCGATATCTATTAGAATAAGATGTAACAAGAACTTTATGTTGCAATTCTCAACTGTTTATTGTCGTCTAGTTTGGCCAGAACAGCGCATCAGTGCAAACACCATATTAATTATAAGCTATGATCAGTTCATATAGAAATGGTGTCACAGTTCAGCTTCAGCTTCACATAGCAGAAAACTTCAACAAAATGGGCTCGTTTACATAAAAAAGTTGAAGAAGTGACATTGACAGCCTCATTCAGTTGAATTTCAGGTGTAAATTTTCTGGAAATCACATCTTTCACTAGTGATTTTACCACCACTGTTCTGCACACTGCATAGCACCAATTTATATTCATTCAATATTTATGTGGTTCCGTCAAACAGTTCGAGCTTTTTCCGCGAAAAGTCAATGTGGTCTGACTGGTTTGATACCGACTTGCTAGCTTTATGACCTTGATATCACGCACTCTCTGACAAAACGGCCAAAGAGATGAGAATACGCTGTAAGTCAAAAAGCGAAATCCAGCATTTGAACAGGTCATCACACATTGCCCGTCAACAGTAGAAAATAAAGCCATTTTCAGACATTCACCGTCACCCACTGTACTCAACAGTTGTTGCTATCTCCCTGTTCTGTTTTCTCAATATATGCAATGACGTCTTCAGGACAGAAAAGGTACTGAATATCATATGGGTTTTAGAAATAGTCGTACTGACGTACCGAACGTATTCAAATGGTACCGAATTCAGTACAAAAGTACCGAAACGGCAGCACTGCGCGCGATCCTATGTTGTATGTTGGGAAGTAGACGAGATAAGTCTCGAGATAAGTTCAGAATTCTCAACAACCTATATACAAAACTTTGCATTAAATTATGATGATATGGATAGTCATCAATAAGAATTCTCTGTTGGTACTCAAGTTTCCTGAATGTTTGCACTAATTTTTTGAAATTCATGATGGGAAAGAAAAAAGTACCTACCACTCGAAATATCTCAAGTTTCTGTTGTTGTCAAGAATGCAGCTATCCTTTTACTTTCATATTTTAGACTGATTTCGATTAATTCACCCATATTTTTACTTAGGCAAATAGCAAACAGATTTCAAATTCAATATTTTGTTTTCAGTTTTTATGTTAGGTTATGTCAATTTTGGTTGACACAACACAACAGTAATAAATGAACGCGTGGTTACGTCCCATTGCATTTCACTAAAGAATATATGAACACAGTTGGTGGATTGATGGAGCCACCGGTGAATAAAAGAACTTCCCTCTAGTAAACAAATAGTGTTTTATGAAACAAATGTGGGGTCATCTTCAGTGACTTCCCATATTTTGACGCTTTATTATCGGTAACGATCTTCATACTATTAACGAATTCATCCATTCATAATTCATTTCAATAACACCTGTAATGATTTCTGATCCATTGGATCACTCCTGATAATCTATCCGATTGTAGTAGTTCTGATTGTTATTTCATTATCCCTGATGAGAACTGACTGTATGATTATCAATTTCAGAACAACCATTAAGTAAATTTTCCGATTCAATAAATTTTTCTGTGGCCATTGACCGAAGTCTTTCAGCTGTAATTTTGATATTTCGAATAAATGTAAATTTTTCCTGAAGCCGAACCTGGATTTTCACTCCGCGCGATAGGTGAATAAATTTAACGTCCCAAGTATAAGCTCCTTACCAAATTTTAGAAAAATATACTGGGTAGTTCAATACTTATAGACGGATGAATAATTATTCGAAATCGATAAATCGCCCTGTATCTCCGTTATGAAGACTCTAAGGCCTATCAAATATGGTATTTTCAGAACCACCTTGGTGACCCCTATCTACCATTGAAATATTTCCCTTTACCTATGAAAGACCCTGTATAAGGACAGATAGTGAAGGATGGAGACAGAGACAGCTATATTGGTTTGACAAGTTTCGTATTATTTTTTCCTACGTCAACATCAACGCCTATTGGTCGATTTCGTTACCTATAGAGACAGAAGTTGGTCCTGCTTTCAGGACAGCTATGCTTCATATATTAGTAGATAAATGGATGGAACAAATGATTATTTGATGATTGTCGTACATATCACTCACCCGTTAATATTGTGAGCGCTCTTGAAAGCCGGCGTCTTAAACGCCAACTTGATCGGCCCGTTGATGACCCTGACGGCGCTGGCGGCGGCAGCGGCGGCAACGGTCGTCCTGCAATCAGATCGAACAACGGAAGGTAGCCTCCTGCCTCCCGCCGCCCCAGCCTCTGGCCGCCTCTCGCCGCCGCCACCGCCGAGACGGGCGGTCGCGTGCGTCGTTATGACGTTGACGGCGTTCGTCGTTATGACGTTGACGGCGTTGGGGTGATCTTTGGGGGGCGGTGGGGGAGAGGCGGCTGGGGCAGCGGGGGCGGCTCGCCTCAGGACCGCGCCCTGCTTACCTGGCGAGAATTCGGATCACCATGACGTTCGGTACGGACGTATTTTCGAATCGATCAGAACGATTCTAGCTATGGCGGTCAATTCGGTAAATTATTGAAAACTAACCTCACTCTTCTGTGAAACATTGAAACACAACCTCAGTTTTTTATTTGTTTACAGAGGAATCGGATGACCACAGGACAGAGTAAAGAAGAAGAAAGATATTGTGTATGAACACAGAGCAAGAGTATGAAGTATAAAGGATTGAAATAGTTTTTCACAATATTTCGGCATACGAATCGTGTTTTATGCGCTAAAAATGCACAAAAAATGCAGCGAGAGAGTAAGGAATATGATTTTTCAGGTAAATAGTAATCTCACATAGTCTTCATCATGAAATTTTGTCATTTCTCATTAAAATTCCTTCTGCAACTTCTGCAATAGAAGATAATACTGCTGAAAAATGCAAAATATCTACAACACACACGATCATATTTCGTTAGCATGTCAGACCAGTCCTCCCGTTTGATTGCATGAATCCATTCTTCTTGTATTATTTTAAAAATTTCACAAGTATTTCTATTAGTTCTTATTGCAGAAGGAATTCCGATGAGGAATCAGAGAAATCACCCAAATTTTAAAAATGAAAACTATATGTGAGTGTTCATAGTAGGTACTTACTTTTGAATCATATAATGTATAATAACCGGATTCCTTCGTCTCCCGCTGCATTTTTTGTGCATGCCATCATATTGTGCACAATATGATGGCATGCGCGATTTAATAAATAACCGAAAAACAGGTTTCCTATGCCTAAATAATTGTGATAAATTATTTCAATCACTTGTAAACAAATTAGAAAAGTGAGGTTGTGCTTCAATGTTTCACCTCCAGCTCAGCCGAATATTCGTCTGAGACCTCCAGGGTCGATCATCTGACAGTTCTTGCACGCAACCCATTATGTATTTCTTCTCGAAAAAAACCAAACATTAGATATTAATCAGTTACGAAACGTGTCATTTTGTGAAACGATGTGTAATAAAATTCGTTTCCTAACGTGTTATGTGCAATATTCATAAAGGGACGAACGAGTCAATTCAAAACAATTATTTTGTTTATGTGGTGTGAGTACAGTGTCAGTTGAGAATATACTGTTATACTTCCGGTTGGGTATTTCAGATTTATTCACCGTCTGATTATAGGAAATGAAAAAAATTCCTCTTTAAAATGCAGCGAGAGACGAAGGAATATGATAATCCAGGTAAATAGTGATCTTACATAGTTTACATTATGAAATTTTGTCATTTCTCATTAGAATTTCTTCTGTCACTTCTGCAATAATAGAAGCTAATACTGCTAATTGAGTGAAAATGTCAACAACACACACGTTCGTCGGTATGCCAATCTTCTTGACTTCTTCTAGAAACGTCATGTTGCAGAAGGAATTCCACTGAGAAATGACAATATTTCAAAATGAAATCTATGTTTCATATGTGAGTGACTATAATACTTGTACCTACCTACCTACCTACCTATGTACCTACCTGAAAAATCGGATTCCTTCGATCGTCTCTCGCTGCATCTTTTGTGCCTTGTACAACAGCACAATGTGACGGTATGCTTGAATTAATGAATAACTGAAAAACACGATTCATATGCCAAAATAATTGAGAAGAACTATTTCAATTCTTTGTAAACAAATAAGAAAAAAGTGAGGTTGTGTTTCAATGTTTTACCTCCAGGGTACGTAAATTTGCTCAAGTATTTCCATAAATTGAGGTTTTCTATTAGTTTAAATAGTCTTTGGGGTTATCCGGCAATTTTTGAATTCTTTACTTTGAAATTGACCTCACGTTTTAGTAGCTGCCAACTTCGGTGAGACTGAAAATGTTACGCCCAAGTTACGCCTTTTATTCGCGATAAACAAAAAACGAATGTGAACCAATGAAAACAAAGTAAACACGCCGCCTTACCGGCTTTCAATAACTCCGATAGGTGGCGTACGCCTATTTTCTATCGCGAATTGACAGCTATAGTTAGAATCGTTCTTATTGGTCTAAAAATGCATCAATACCGAAAGTCATGGTTATTTGAATTCTTGCGCTTACCTGGGTGCGTGTTCTTCATGTGGCGGCGCAGATTGTCCTGCCGGCGGAAGCTCATCGAGCATATGCTGCACATGAACGACTTCGTCTCTGCGAGAGTATGATAAGTGAGTACAGAGCATAATTATTGGTCAACATGTTTTTTTCTCCATGAACCGCATACAAATGGGCCTTTCCAGAAACGTAAAATTGGACCCTTTTTTGCTATAATGTTATGAAGGGAAGGTAAAAGCCATGTAAAACGTTATCCTGACCACATATTTATCAAGAAGATCGAAGAACAAATGAATTATTATTCATTATTGAAAATGCTATTTCAATACATGTGAAATAAAACGCTACTGAGCTGTGATGTCAGTGTCTTCTTGCAATTTGATTGGTTGGAGTTCTGACGACAGGAAATCACTCCGCTGTTGCCAGATCTCTATAAAATCCTTGAATTGATTCTATGTGCAAAATGTTGCAAGGAATGAAATGATTCGAAATTACTTTATAGTAGGTGATTAGTGGTTTCGTAATTCACTGCTGATCACATTCAATTTACTCAAAAGTATTCCATTAGTTTCAATATGAGGTAGTATATAAAATGCGATTCAGGCATCTAACAATAAGATACTTTTTATATATACTTAGTTTTCTCTTAGTTATGTTGAAATTTCATTGACTAATTGTTATAATCGACAAACGGAACAGTGTTACTATATCTCAAGCATTCATTTCCGGAAGATTTTATTGCAAATCTAGCAACTACGTCTACAAGAGAAAGAGAAGCAACTGGCGCTAACACAATGTTGCTATGTTAAAAATACCACATTCCCCGCATAACTTCACTGTTCTTATTTCTCAATATTATTGATAAGAAGGCAGTGATGCTTCTACTAAAATCAATAGAAATAGAACAAAGTGAGCAATTTAGTATCGATTGATTCAGAATTTTTTATGGTAGATAGGTATTATAGGTAGGTACAGTACATAATAGGTGAATACCTAAACTTGGACATACTTCACTGAAAGGGTTTTGAAACGGAATGTCATGAATATCGGCACTGAGATTCAATTCAAAATGGAATTCCACTTACAATTTCGAATAATTCTCCAACAGAAATTAACCAATAACTAACTAATCATGCAATGCAAATTTTTACGTCACACGTTTCATGGCCATGTCTGATCAGGGAATTACCAATAGAAATTGCTTGCGCACTGACGTCACACGTTTCATGGCCATGTCTGATCGTTTGAATGTGCTTTTTCTTTTTAGCATTCTCAATAATTTTTTATTATGACCAATTAATGGAAGAAAACTCGAAATGTTTTAAGGTATTCCAGTGCCATATATTTCAAGATATATTTTTTCCAGAAATGACTGGAAAGGTCCATTTCAAGGTTGATTTTGATATTCAGGGGTAATGCCACACATTGCCCCACCTTGCAATACTATTGATAGTAGTCATTCAAATTCAAATGTCATTAGAGGTAGGGTTGTCTGATATTGCTCCGGCGTGGAGCACTAGTTTGGTTGGGGGGGGGGGGGGGGCGGGGAGGATCAGAATTATACAGTGACTAACACACATTTGGTCAAAATTAAAGAAGATGGATTAGGAATTCTTTTAGAACATTTTTGAAAATGGCAATCCAAATACTCACAAGGTTTTTTTTTTATCAACATTACAATTTTATTCTTCTGAGAATTTGAATAATATCAGACATGATGGTAGTCAGGATTAGATCATCTGGGTACAGAGTGAGAAATTCAGGCCAAGAAATAGAGATGAGTTAGGACAAAGAACAATAACAGTCAAAAAGATATGAAAAGTGTATAGACATAGATCTAAATACACACACTTAGATCTATGGTATAGATAGATAATGAAGGAGATTTGATGGAGAATATGAAAATCTGTACTTGTTAGGAATGGTTGCTGTTTTGGTTCTCTTTCTAATCTTTTCAATTTCTCAATTTGGTATAATTTAGTTTTTTCTTTATTTTATTTCTTGATGAAAAATTCAAATTTCAAGTTATTGTATTCCTTATTTATCTCACTCTGTATATAGATGATCTGATCCTGACTACCATCATCATTCAAATTCTCATAAGAATCAATATACAGGGTTACTTGAAAAATGCAATTATTCAAAAATTGAAATGTTGATAAAAAATATATATATAAATAATATAGTATTTGTGGCCAGTCCAAATGGATTGCTATTTTAGAAATTTCAGAAAAGGAATGCCTAATCTGATTTCTTTGATTTTACTGGGGTTTTTGCAATCACAGTAGGCTAAAAAATTGTGATTGACAATTTCTTTTTGGCCACAAAGTAGATAATTGAGTAGTAAGTATAGTATGAGAAAAATGCTCAAATTCTCCTAGCAATATGAAAGTACAGGGGTGGGGTGGACCAAATTGTAACACTGTATAATTCTGCCCCCCCTCCTCCCCAACTCATCTTGTTGGTGTAAATAATGAAGGATATTAGCTATTACTATAAACAGACCATGAAAATACAGTTGATGTGAAAGAAAAACAACTTACCTTGATGGATTTGAGCATGCCTCTGAAGATCCTTGTTATTCACAAATGCTTTCATACAAACTTTACATTCATGGGGCTTAATCCTAAGGTGAGATCTTCTATGCACAGTCAGAGCCCATTTCAGTTTGAATCTCTTACCACATTGGTCACACATATGAGCCTTCTCTTCTGAAAGATAATCATACAACTATTACTTTTTTCCTTTATCATTGTTATTCAAAGTTTTTTAACTTTTTTGTGATAAAAATCAGATAGTTCATGTCTAAGTTCACACCAAGGACAGGCAATCAAATATAAGTTTAATTCAATTTTGGCCTTCCTTGCAGTGTCCATTAGTTGATAAAAATTTAAAACACTAATGACACAATGTGTTTCAACTTGCTTTGAATATTATTCAACAACTTGTTACATAGTCTCCATTCACACAATTTCAACTCACCTGAATGAACTGCCATATGTTTGTTCAAATTTGAATGATTGCTGAACTTTGCAGAGCATAAGCTGCAATCATAGGGCTTCTCCCCTCTATGAATTATTGAATGAATCTTGAGAGATTCTTTGCTGCGGTATGCATTGCCACATTCAGAACAAATGTGACTTTTAACAATTGAATGTATAGAATTGTGGCGTACCAGTTTGCTTCTAGTACTGAATGCCTTCTTGCATGTTGTACATGAATAAGGTTTCTTTGATTCATGTTTGTAGGAATGAACATCAAGTTGTGAAAGCAGAATGAATTCCTTGTTACAAATTTTACATTTGTATGGCTTGGAAACTGAATAAAAAAACAATTTAAATGTAGAAGGTTGAACAATATTCCAAACTTACCTCCAGCTTCACAATACTGATGATATTTGATGTGAGTTTTGGTGGAAAACTTTTTATTACATATTGTGCAGTGATATGATGAAGAATCTGCAATCTCAGTTATATGTTTAGGAATTTCAATCAAATTGTATGGTCTCCTCTTATTTTTTTCAACTGTTTTTGGTTTGATGGCAACTATATCTCTGTTTTCTGTACCAAAACTATTTTCATTGTTATTTACAATGTCTACTGTATCTGCTGATACATTGGATTTAATTGTAGTCAGAGTATTATCACCATTTATAGCTATTTTATTAGGAATATTTCCATTGACTTGGATTACGGCGGTATGATTATTAAGCACTACTTGTTCAAGTTCAATGTGAGAGTTCCCATTAACAGAAATTTTGTCACAGTTCACCAACTTATTTTGGTCAGTTTTTATTGCTTTATTGCTATTATCCAGAAAGTGTGTATTTTGAACACACTGTTTACAATGATCCTCATCTTCCAGCAGACACTGTCTACATTTTTCATGCCCACAGGAGTCCCTGACTATTCTGTAAGAAAGTCCAGAAGGTGTTCTTGTACATTGTAAGCATGTAGCTTGCATTTTCACAAACTTCGTTGCATTTATCGACTATACAGATGGAAGCATTTTATTATCAAATCCAACATAACCATATATCTTGATAATTCAAACTAAAATCACATTATAATCCGATTTCTATTCCCTAATCAAAATTTTTTTGTTTTGATTTTTTAATACTTCAATTTGCTGATGACAGTGATGACGATTATTGACAATGACCATACGACATTGGCTGGCATTTCAACCTTAGATCATTAACACCGGCCCTGTCCTTGGCAGTTTTCCACTCATCACATGTTCACATGTCAAAATTTGTCATATGATTTCTTGATTCTTGCAGGGTGTTGGTGATAACAAGAGTTCAGAAATCGGTATTCAATCAAAATGATTTATTATTTGGGTATTTTGTCTTTAATAGTTTCAGGTGAGTTCAAAATATTCAATCCACTGAATTTGTACATTATTCCCTAATCTTTGCAGCCTATGGAGCTGGAGAATTCTCTGTTCTTCACCACCCGTCCAGCCTTGTCTTCAAAGGCCATGATATCCTTAAAGAGAGTACCCTGACTGATGTATATGCAGCATCCCTCGGTTTCTCAACTGAGCACTTTTCTAATTGGGGTGGCCTGTACATAGACAATCCTTTTGAGGTGGCTCAAGCTATTGTTACTGTATATGTTGATGGTGTAGCTGATATTGGGCAACACAAAGGCCATCACTTTCCCCTCAAAACCGATGTGAATGAGATCAAAGTGTACAAATCATTGAAAGAGAGAATTGTTGAACATTATCCAGACCAGAAGACTAACTTGGTGAGGATTAATTTGTCCAAAGGACTGCAAGAAGTGAGTACTCAATACATAGTATGAGCTGTAGGAATAAAATGATAATTTTGAAGGTACATAAGTATCCAGTTTTTCAAGATGTCCCTAGTGAGAATCCCAAGCATGTCAGTCATAAGGCTCTGAAGTTGACTGTTGATGAAGACAGGCAATTCCTAAAGGAGATAACTCTGTTGCATGAAATTGCTGAAAAAGTATTCATTATTGGAGATACACTGTCCACAATATATTCATTTTGGTCATTTTAGGTTGAGCAAAGAGTTGTAGAGAAAGACTTTATTCCAGATGTCTTCTGGTTTGAGGTGTCTGCTCTTCATGCTGTTTCTGATTTGCATGGGGAGAATTCTACTGAAGTGAATGAAGCCCATAGGTTATTGAATGAAGTTATTCTCAGGTTGAGTGCTGCTTTTGATAAAGTTTATGATGGTTTTGTAGTCATCAATGTTATAACTAGTGATGCCAGTCACACCAGAAGGGGTAGGAGCATTCTTCAAGCAAAAGCTGGTGCTGCTGATGAAGAACCAGAGACTGATGTAAGTATGGATCATTAAACATTCATAAAAAAGGTAATTTTGCACTTATCATGCCATGGTTTTTTTTTTGAAAATTTTTTTTGGTACTTGTATAAGGAATTTGATCATGAAAATGTGAACAAACCACTATTTATCCAGATATTTCAAGAAAAAGTTCCAAATTTTGCCTCATTTTCCCCATTGTGTTGGATGCATTTACAGATACTTGCTCTTTTTATTTTGTCATTGGACACTTTAAATACTCATGATGTACTTTAATTACACATTTAAAGCTAGAAAATTCAACAGGAAATATGATTTTTATGGTGAGTTTTTCCTATTTAGTGAGCAAGCATACCATAGATGACGGCCATTTAATCCATAGGCAATCCAAATACCAGATGTCAATAGTTGCATTTTAATTGTTTCATTCTGGTATTGGTGGGGGGAACAGAATGATGCTTACAAATAAAACGAGAATCTTCAGAGAAAATAAGCCTTTTCATATAGATACATTTTTAAGATGCATGTGCTCGTTTTTAGATCCAAAATTTGATTGGGTAATGCGAAGGTGAAGTCTCATTGGCTATAGTTCCCACACTAAATTCTGATTGGCCATTTCAAATATGGCGGTTTTTATTGACGTTCTGTCAAATGTCAACAGTGTCAACCACAATGGGCATTTGTCATTGAGAAACAACAATAACAATATAGTATTTCCTTTCCATATTCCTGGTGTGTATTAATTGTATTATATTAAGTTAAATCGAAAAAACCTTACTTATTCCTTACTGAGGAGTGTGCTGCAAATGTTTCGGTGAAAATGGCCGCCACTGTCGTTGGATGCGCGATGTAAACACAGATAGTCATTTGTCATCTTAATGAAGAGGCCTATTGACATATTATAGAGGTTATATTTATATGTTTGAGCTTGGAATAATATCAAAATCATAATACTAGAGTTAAAAATAAAAAAATCAATCAACGCATATTTGGAGCAGTGATTGTGGTGATTAAAAAAAGTTCTCTGGAAGAAGGGCAAATTGTTCTAAATGCGATTCAAATACAGGTGGAAAAGAAGGTGAAATTTGTAACTTTATAGTGAAATATCTTAATAAATAATGGTTTGCTCACATTTTCATTATCAAATTCGTGTTTTTCAGACAAAAATACATAAGTAAAAAAAAATTCGGAAAAAACCCCATCCCATGATAAGTGCAAAATTGATTAATTAATTAAAGGTAATAATGTTTCTGCAGGAAGTGAATAATAGTAAAAGTTCCCTATTTTTTAGAAGCAAAAATATAACTTGGCCAGCTACTATGGAAAGGAATACCCAGCAATTTTCAATATTATTTTGTGGTTTGGGGTGGTGATGCTTTTCTCATTGATTGCTATCTGTATGGCAATTGGTGGTATGGACCCTGGAAGGGACTCTATCATCTACCGCATGACCAGCACAAGGATGAAGAAAGACAACTAAACTCTTCAATTGGGCTTTGAAATTGCCAATGTATTGAAGCTACTAGTACTGGAGAATATTTCCTGAACATTCCCAAGGCACCTGAAAAAATCATTTTCTCTGCCTGCATATCATATTGTCCAATATTTCAATGTGAAAATAATAGCATGAGTAGATATCCATAAAAAAATGCAAACATTTTTCATTTACTCAAATCAATTAATTTTTTTCTAGGGCCAAGTTCAGTTGATCCCTCAAATTTTTTATGTTCTCCACACTAAAATGTATGTTGTAGTTATGTAAATAATAGTATTATTTGTTGATTTGATGCTCTTAGGTTTAAAATAAAAGATATAGATCCTACAAATAGAATAAATTATCCTCCAAGCCTACAAAAAAACTATAGACATACTTGTTAACTTCTTTATTTCATTAAATGAATAATGTTATTTATTTTAGATAATATTTTTTTGTTTTTCCCATTGAATGAATCATAGAGAAACTTTTCTTAAAGGTAAATAATTAGTAAATATACACAAACAATAAAAAAAGGTTAAATCAGTAATTTGAATATTTTCTTGAAACTTCTTCCACAAATGATAAAATATTGTCAATAAAAATATAAGGCCATTAAGGAAAGCAGTAAAGCCATTTCAAAGGCACATTTATTATCACTAAATCTACAGTACCTATATTTATTTTTAAAGCACCAGTAGAGCCCTTATGAAGGCACATGCATCAATAAATCTGCAGTATATCTATTTCCAAAGCACTATAAATAAAATTTTAATACTTTTAATTAAACATAATGATTGTGTGACACAATTCTTGTTGAATTATTTCAAATAAAAATACATGAGGTTAAGGAAAAATATCAATGACTTATAAATATACAAATATAAAAATAAATATATGAATACAGCAGTGGCGGCTCCTCAGAGGAGGCAACGGAGGCTGAGCCTTCTCATTAAAAGGACACCAAAATACATAGATTTTGATTTTATTTCCTGTTTTTAGGTAAATATTTTTGAATTGGCAACAGTGCTTGCCCACGCATCACACGTTGAAGTCTGCAAATCACGCGTAAAATATTCAACTTGGCAACATCTATAGGAGGCTAGACTCCTTCACGAGGCGGAACACACGCGCGCAATGCAAATGCCCGAATATCACGTGTTTGTCGTGTCGCGTCGCGAATTGCGGACAGTCCAGCGCGAGTGCATTGTTTATGTTTATGTTAGGTTGATGGTTAGGGGCTCTAAAAATTTCTGAAAAATGAGTGTTTCAAACGATTGCGATTGACTGGAATACTTTTTGGTGAACCCATTCAGTGCTTTGTCTTATGAAGATAAATTGATTGTGAAAAACAAACTTCCGACCCCGGAATTAAAAAATCTGATTGTAACATGTAACAAACAAAATCGTTCGTTCAATTCTGATAAAAAAATATATATATATATCTGGTTGACGGGATCTGTGGTAAGGAATAAGCTATTTTGTTGGTACTGTTTACCGATAAGTCATCATGTTGGGGGCGTTTAGGATATAATGATTTGAAAAATTTGCCTCGCGGATTGGATAGACACTGCAAAATACAGGAACACATCTCTTCAAGTATTAAGTTCAGGTTTTAACTGGTAAACAGAATGTCATTGAAGCTATCGATTTGGGTGAGTCGGTGAGTCATAGAGAGTTGTTTTTCACAATAAATCTCATATCATTCAGCCTCCTCTGTCATGAAAATCACGAGCCGCCACTGGAATACAGAGAGTCCATAAATCAATGAATCAAGAAAGTTTATATTTTTCAAAATCAAAACATTGAAACTATTCAGCTAGCTTTTTCAAATTGTGTGCACTTGTTCCATGCATTAAGAGTGAGTGGTCTGGTATCTACTCTTATTTTTTTCAATTATTTTTTTTTATCTTTCGAATCGGACTACAGGAAATCCTTATTATGTTAATAGAACCTGGGGACAGCAGTGAATAGGAAGGGAAGGTAGATATTGGATTTTTTGTTCAAACTTCAATATATACTGAATATTGAGTGAAAATAGAAGTAATCATGATGGAAAAAATAATTAATGATGTCTTTCAATCTAACTCCCTGGACAATTTGAAAAAAAAATAGTACATATTATTATGTTTCAAGGTGTTGCTATAAAAAAATTCTTGAGTAGATAGATAAAATAAGCATGTCTATTAGTAAAAAAATATACAAACTATAATAACAATTACTGTCATAATTCTCAAACTTTTCATATAAATAATGTTTCATGTGGAAACTAGATAAATTAATGTGAATTGGTGTAAACATTATGAAAAATTATCAATTCAATAAATATTATTGGTTATCAACTGTTTTGGTTTTTTAGCAATTAAAAAAGTTTTGATTAGTTGAGAAAAAACATTCAAAACATTGATATTATGTGGAGAAAATATTGGTAAACTAAATATTTTGAGGTATAAGTCCCTAAACTTGATTAATTTTTGTTCAAGAATTATTGATGAAAAAAAAACTTGATGTCAAAATATTTTCAGTCTCATATTGCTCTGGCGAGTAACTGAAAGATTGGGCTAGCCAACTGTGAAAACTGAATTAAAATTAGTTATGGGCTGTGAGTAATTTGATTTTGAAATCGTATATTTTGGACTATGAGTTTTATTTTGTTGATCAGTTTAGATTCAATATACCCATATCATATACCTTGATGAAAAATGACTTATCAGCGTTTATCTTGGAATCCCATGATCAAAATTCGTCTAAGATGGGACAGGAGTGGTAGCTTTCTTGTGAGAAGCCTCGTGCTGCCTCCGCAAACGTCTGCGGAACTCAGTGGGGAACTTCTCGTAGCATTTCTTGCACGCGGGTTTCAGGTCGCACTCGTAGAATTTCGTTTTCTGGTTCATTTTCTGGTCGCAAATGGAACAGGCGAAATGGTGCACGCACCATGCCTTGTTCAGAGCAGTAAAAACTGGAAAAAAATCGGTCGAATCATCAAAGAGTTCGTTATGTGATATTATTTAACTAGCGCATAATTATTATGGCTATTACTCACAATGGAAATACACTACTGCCGTGGCATTGTATTTTTCCTATGAAAGCATCAAGCACACTGTGTTGTTGCTCAGAAAGTAACTCAAGTAAATAGTAGATTAATGTGATATCAATGTTGATTTAATGTTAAATTAATGTAATGAATTAATGATAATTCAATAGTAATTTTATGGTTAAGTTGTTGATGTTGAGTCGAGTGAATGTAACGTTAATGTCAAGTTGATGTTAACTTACTGTTAATTCAATGTTAATTTGATATCAAGTTGATGTTAGGTTATTGAAAAGTCGATGATATTAAGTTGATATTGAAATTAAATTAAATCACGTCTGTTAGCGACTAGCCAGATGCCGGACGCCCTGTACCATTAGAAGCACAGAGCTACAGTTAGTGGTTACATAAGGTTTAGTCACCTATCTACAAATGACTGTATCCGATCAGGAGGCATTTAGGTTGATTCATTCTTATTTGAAGCGTTGTAAAGAATACATTGTGTTGAGTGTTAATAAAGGTGCAAGGTTTCAGAGGGACTGATTCTGTTCTGTCAACCCTATACCGAGCAGTGCTAATATCTCAGAAGTGGAATCGAATTTTTTTTCCCTCGTGCCATTCGTCATGCCAAAACGAAGACTTTCAAGAAAATCTTCAAAATCAGATTCTACAGCGAGTTCCCAGTGGTCTTCTACAGACTCATTGCCGAGTACTGAACTTGATTATAGAAGTAGCAGTACCACGAGATCAGTGAGTAGCCGTACAAGAAGCCATAGTAGAGTTCCCATGCATTGAAATACGATTGGCAACTTCAGAAATAGTAGTTATTCAAACATTCATCAATTCCCAATTATGTATTGGTAATATTCCTATTTAGCAATACAAAATTAATTGTCTCAAAATGTTCCCTTATGATTTGTGGTTAATTGCTTATAATACATTTGTATAAATAGTAATTATATTAATTCACACGAGGACATTTGGAGTGGTGAACGTGACAACACGGCGCGCACGACTTGTGGGCGTGGTCTTGTCCCTTCTCAGCATTCACATGATATTTTGTTATGGAGAAAGTCAAGAATGAACTATAATATCATGGATTCCTACTATTATGTTTTATTTAACGACAGGACAGGATAACTTGATTATAATTGGTGACAACCTTGCTTCGTGAGTGGGAATAAAAGAGTTGACCAATAACAGCAAAAAAGCTGTCACCATGTATTCCACGTATTGCCAAATGGTGGCCATGACGGTACGTTTGAAATGAGCTCCGAAATTCGACAATTTCGAACAACGCATACACTCATTATTTACATAAAAAAAGTGTGAGAAGTGTGAAGTGAAAATTAATTTAGGTCCCTAACGACACAGTGGAGTTATTGAATGCCAATAATTCATTATAATAAGTCAACTCGCCCATTTCACTAGCCCACTACAAGGTGCTACAACAGTGTGAATGTGTGAGTGCTGTTCATCATATGAGTAATAGCCATTTTCCCCAAATGAGGGATAACGTTATTCATTGTCCACCAGATAGCGCTACTGAAACGTGAGGCCTTTTGTTCGTGTCATTTGGCCTCTTCCAATGATATCTTCTTCTCCGTCAATGTAAGAATTAGTCGTAGATCCACATTGAGAGTAAAAAAACGTAAGTATGCTCAATTCTTTCCATAACTTGAGGTTTTCTATTTGTTCATTCGACTATTCCACTCTTGGTCTCTAGAATCAATCAGAATTGACCATTTTCACGGTTTCTTCTGTATTACAGCGATATTTTTTTTGCTTACTAAATTTTATTTGACTTGCTCTACCAATACAAAAGCCGAATTGACCCACACGTGACCAACCTTCGTCGTTTTTCAGCGATTACATTCTGGATTTTTGAAATGTCAATTATGTTGGAAGCCAAAATGATGGATGCAGTGTGCGCAACTCTCACAAGCCGCTTATTTATTGTCTCTATCATGGAATATTCATTGGAATACAACTTGTGACACTGTTTTTCCTGGAAATATTCGTCGATTGACGTAATCCAGCTTGCTGCCTACCGCTCGAAAGTTTTGATAAACAATGTCATTCGGCGAAATTATCAGGCAACAAGCTGTCGTTACAATCACCGAATATTTCCGGCAAAATAGTATCACTTGTGGTATTACATATGAATATTTTCGATAAAAAACGCCACAGCCATTCAGCAAAATTTTGGGATTGACATTAACCTCACGTTTTAGTAGCGGCAACTGTTGAGACTGAAAATGTTAATAAAATTCAGGACTATGCACTAATAGTAGGATGTACTATTATTGCAGAATATTAAACGAATTTTACTATTCTTGAACAATGACAGAAGAATTAGGGCGTCATTATTCGAAAACTTTTTTTCAATGGCCTGTATGGTTACATTCAAAAACTCACTGAGAAGAACATAATAAATTTGAATGTGTGAATATGAAGTGCTGAAAATAAAAATTACACTTACCATCTCCATTGATAACCTGATTGCATACAAAACAGAGATTACCAAATAATTGGTGGTAATGGGTTTCACAGTAAGCCAAGCCCTTTTTCTCGTAGTGGCGATGGCCAAAGAAAGGTTTCTCACATTTGGCACATGCAAAATGCTTAAAAAAAAGGATATTACAGAGACAGCATTCAGTAAAAGTACTATGAAAGTAGAGAAGACGTTGGAAGATTGGTAACAGTAAAGTCTTTATCATTTTAAGTCAACGTTAGCATATTTTTTCTTATTATTCAAACTGACAGTTACTACCTTCAATATTATGAACGTGAAAAATTGGAATGTGCTGTTAGCTATTTTACGTTGTTATTTTTTGTACTGAGTTAACCAGAGCCGTCTAGTGCCCAAACTGAGCAACTTTGTAGTGAGATGAGTTTGGTTGTATCCATTTTTTTACGACTCATTAATCTTTGTATATGTAAAAATGATGAATTTTTTGAACAATTTTCACGACATCTGTTAATCGTTTCAAGGTTAACTGATGCTTTAATTACTAAAATTCAAATATTGACAAAACCATTTGAGTCATCACATTAAATCGAGAGTACCTTTTCTGTAGTAAATAAGTTACACAATCCAAATTTTATATTCAAACCTTTTTCTCTCCATTGGCGTGAAGGTTTTAGATGTTAATTTACAACAAAAATCAAGTCCTACGCCCATGGAATGATAGTCATCATGATTATGGTATGGGTTTTATAGACCAATAAAGCTATACCAATATATCAAATTTAAGTGAGTTATATGAAGCAAAAACAATTTCGTAACTTCAGAGCCGTCTAACGCCCAAACTAAGCAACTTTATACTTAGGTAAATTTGCTATAATTTGATTGATTTGCTAAGTTCTTGTAAAGAACACCCTGTATAGAAAATGACCACTATACCGGACGTTTGGTTGGGAGAATTAATATATCTATTTATTTATTTATTCATCCACGATACAAAATTAAATTCATTTGTCACATTTCATTTCACTCTCTCACATCTCACATCATTCCCCCTACCCCGTCTGCCCGGGAAGACTGCTAGCAGTATTTTGAATTGACTCGGCTGTTACTTGATGAAAATCCATGGCAAATGCACAAACTTCAAACGATAAAATTTCCATAAAATTCTCGAACACACGACGTGTTTCGCTAACACAGTAGCTTCATCAGGTGATATACTGGTACAATGAACTAAACTGACCTTGGCTTGCCTAACTTTTATATATCCCACTTTCCCAACCTGATGGATTAGTTACCTGTGGACAGTCATTTTTGGAAATAGGCACAATATCTACATTAAAATACGGTGTACTGGATTAACTTGAAAGGGTTGATAGCAAATACCATAGTATAACTCACTAAGAAAACGAATTTAACAGTGGTGAACTATTGAGGTCTAGTTGATTGTTAGGTAAAATGTCAGAATTAGTGAGTTTGTTGATTTCTGATGATTCAAAATGATTCAGTTTCATTCCTTTATTTTCTACGTGTAGAATTTCGAAATTATCATCAAAACTATGGTTTTCTTCTAATATATCGTTGGCGTATATTGAATTTGTTTTCTTTTCCAAAAAATTCATGTTATGTTCATTAATGCGCTGATTTAAACGTACGACCTGTCTGAAGATGAGATGAAAGTATAGCGTAATATGCTTCTTACATCACATATTACGTAATATACTATTACTCGCCGGTCAAATGCGCCGCGTGGCAAGGCGTTTGTGAGTGCTCCGAAGAGCTAGTGCGCTCTGTAAATCTGCGAGTGGAAAACGCTATACAGGTAACTGACATATCAATTCTCTCAACTGAGGTTCGGGGGTGGAATTATTCAAGGTTCGAAAGGAATTACCTCGACGTGCCAATGTTTCCCGAGCGCCGTCACCACCCTCTCCTCGATCGGCCGCCTGCACGCGCCGCATATGGGCACGCCCATCTTGTCGTGGCACCGCAAGCAATACAGCTCGTTCATGTCGTTCTTGGCGAAGCCCGACCGGTTGCGCACCTCTCTGGCGTTGCTGTCCAATTCGACGCCGCACGTGGTGCAGTTGAAGTGGTACGGGTGGTACACCTCGCCGCGGAATTTCAGGGGCTGGTCGTCGATCATGGCGCTGGGAAAAAGTACGGGGTGATTTTGTTTTTGCTTTTTGATCGTCTGAACACTTGTAAGCGGTTTGTTTTAATCATTGTCTGCTAAATATGGAGGAAAAATCTAGTTAGTTGTATTCGCGGGAATCAATGTTACCAGGTGGCGCTCGGTTTTCATCGTTCCATGTCAAAGCCACGTCAAAACTGGGGGAAAACAAACTCAATCCTCACTCAATCCCATTAGTGTCATTAGCTTGTGTACTGTGTACTGATAAGAGTGATGTTTTTGAATTTCTTGACATTATCTGTCAATATTCGATCGAAAACGCTAATAATGCCTGTTGTAGATGTTCTCATAGCAGATATTTTGCTCTATTCAGATGGAAACAGCCGACCAGTAGTGGAGGCAGTTCTCCGTGCTAATCATGTGATATTGTGTGAGGCAGAAGACTTCAACAAAAGGCACATTTTTGCACTTTGTCTTCAAACTTCGGCGATACAATCTTCCCCACATGAAGTAAAATTGAAGTTGGGGTCTAGAGGAACTCCTGTAGAACAATGGATTTGTATTTGTTCCTGCAAAGCAGGACAATCTGGATATTGTAAAGATGTTGTAGCTGTTTTTTTATGTCAATTGATTTGCTCGTCATAATTAGTTTGAATTGTTTGAACTATCTCCAATTCTTCACCCGTTCACTGTTCACTAAACTAATAAAAATGTAATAATGTAAAAAAATTAACCAACTCAACCATCATCACTACCAACACTTTATGTCATTGACGAGTTTGACAACTACAGCTACAGCAAGGTGTATGCAATGTAGTCTATGCACTTTATCCATAGACAACAGTTTGTTTTCCCCCAGTTTTAAGTTCGTATTATGTAACCTAGATGTCGCCCACTTCGTGAATCTTGCGAATATCCTCAGCAAGCTCTTGATAAAAAAAATTAACCCAAACACTATTTTTAACTTAATCAAAAATCCCATTGGATTCTTGTCTTAAAATCTCCCTAACTATTGTCGTATCCATTAAAACCGGAAGGGATAGAACAAAATTGTTTCATCAATTAATGATCAATTTGGTGTACTAGCAGCCACCAATTTTCAAAACTCTATCTTGAATAATTCAAAAGTTACAATCCTAGCCGTTTTATGTACACTCATCTGTATAAACATTTAAAGGAAAATAAATTGTCCCCTGGCATATTACAGATCGACATTCAAACCTCAATGTTCAACTGTAGTGAACCAAATTGGTGTGTAAACAGTGGAAAGATATAAACTCACTGGCACTTATGACAGATGTATTTCCCCAAACCACGTGCCTTGACCTTGGCATTACATTCATGGCACAGAGCTCGACCGCCATTCTTGATAAATCCCGTATCGGCCAGCTCCTCGGAACACATCTCGCATCTGAAGCAATTCGGGTGCCAACTGGCATTCATCGCCTTGATAACCTAATGAAAAACATAAAAAGCAATCCATCTCATTTGCCCATTTTTTCGCTTCCGGGGTCAAAGTGCCCATTTGATCCCTATGGAGTAAAGTGAATCATTGCTGCAATGAAGAATATTACTATCACCCAGAAATCAAGTGATATAAGGTCAATAGTAACTTAGTAACAATAATCTTTACTACTAAGATGAATTTTATAATTTCTCAGATTATGCTCCAGTCTTCTTTCATTGTATAATTTTTCTATTTTGCGTCTTTAATATAGCCATTACAACACCCAAATGTGTATTGAAATAGCTTCTATTAGGACACGCTGAATTTCTTGTTTCAAAGTTGGTAATGGTTACGTCAACGTCAAACTGTCAGACACACTAGCGTCTAGAGACAGAATGCAAAAAATAACTATAACATTATCAAACAGGTATCTTGAGCATTCCATTTATTACCTATAAAATTTGTTGGGCTGCTGTTGAGACAAAATCATGCTCATTAGTCTGATTATTAAAATTATTGTTTGTGCAATGCGACTGTGAGGTAGAGGCATCAGGATGTGTTAGAGAAGTTGAAAACTGAGAAGAAAACATTTGAGCTACCTACCTCAATTGTTCTCTATTTGTTAAATGGGACACACTAGAATGCCGAAAACAATGTCCTGTAAAAATCTCAGAATTTGGTAATTTAAAATATTCTGCAATGATTCTTGGCATTTTTTCAATTGTGTTAATTTTATTTATCCAGTAACCATTGCAGTATATAGGTCAGCAAGAAGCGTTTACATTTACATATTGTGATGGTATAGGTAGCCAGTTTGCCACCATACTTGGAAATTGTGGAATTCTCATTCATAAGCTTGGGCAACAAATCATTTATAGTCGTTTGGGCAAATTCCCTCAGTTTAGGAGGGGTGCAACTCAAGTTTTCCTCTTCAGTCAACGAGAGAGGGGAAAGTTCTCTCCTCTTCCATATCTCTCTGCAATGCTACCAACGTGGCCGCATTGAAATATAGAGAGGTTCGATAAATCTTTCCTTGTCTAACATCTACTTTGTGCCACTGAACTATTTTTCAATTCAGCAGAGTGTCAAATTTAACGATATTAACAAATTATGTCAAAATAAGTATGTTATAAATCAAAATTTCATTTCGAAAATTCTAAATATCATCAGTCAATGACATTCATGACATAGACACATCACGTCATTATAATATCGAAAATAGTTCAGTGGCACAGACTAGAGATTAGACAAGGAAAGATTTATCGGACCTCTCTATATTTCAATGCGGCCACGTTGGTAGCATTGAAGAGAAAGATGGAAGAGGAGAGAACTTTCCTCTCTCTCGTTCAAGGTAGAAAAGTGCTCAATTGTTCAAAAATCGATCAAACTGTTAGTTTTGAATTCCCATGAATTGAGAAAAAAGACGATAAACATATTGAGTGCGGTATTTTTAGAAAGCTCTATGAAAGTTGTTTCCAAAATTGAGGAAATATGTAGGGTTCTATTCAAAATGCATACACTTTTTGTTGCTCCGTGATAGTGAAAGCGTATTTAATGTTTCCAGAAGGAAAAAAAGTCCCCGGTTTGTTTTCTTCTACCGTCAAAAATGGAAGAGTTACAGGGGGTGCTACTTCATAACTTATCACAGGGCACAACGAAATAATTCATGTTAATTATTTGGAAACTGACCCACTTTGGTCTGGAAAATTTAAAAATAAAATAAACCTTTCAAGTTGAAATCTCAACCACACACAAATTTTGACATTTGGGAAGCTGGTTTTCAATATTGAAAGTAATATACAAAAAATTTTTCACCACTAGCTATAGAACCTACCATGTTTTACTTACTCCTTTTCAAGGCATAAAGTGTGTTTTTACTACCAAGGCAGTTTCCCTCATTTTATGAACTACTAGTCTATAAAGACATAGCCAACTCTGATATAATCAACCCAAATTCACTGTTCTGATGCGACATCTGCAAGAATTGCACTAAAATCTAGTACACTCAGTTTGACAGAACTATAATGATTGCAATATATTGCTAGTGGTGAAAACATTGTAATATACACCTTGGTAGTAAATAATATCATAGCCACAGGATCTTACACCCCTTGGCTGTAGGCTGAAGCCTCAGGATATAATCTTGGTCCCTGGGTAATAATGATAGTCTTTACTACCTATATAACCATTATAAATTAAATCTCTGGTAGTAGTCCATGCTCAAATTAGTTGATGTCAGTTGTATCCCAGGATTCATTTTTGATCTTATTATTTGACATATATTATTCAATGACCACATGATTTAAAAGTTTCATGAAATATCCTTATACCCTTCCAATGATGAATTCCCCACATTTATTGCAGCAAGGAGCAAAGAGGACTTGGAAGTCATGTTCACAGTATTTTCTGCCATCAAATTCATAGAAGACTCCATCTCTGAATTCTCTGAAACACTGGGCACACCTGAAAGAAATAATGCAATGGAATATATTAATTCTGTAATTGACATAGTGAAAGTTATTATTCTTTGAGTTAAGAAAATGCAGATTTTTCAAACTATCACTAACTTGGTTATTATTGGAGTTACAAAGACAGTTAAATGGACAAACTAGTAATACTTATTCAGTTGATCACTATGATGGAAACAAAACAAAAATCTAACATCAAGTTTATGAGTCACGTCAGAAAGTTCAAGTTTTTTAAATGATGAAATTTTATTCTGAACAAGAACTTATATCACAAATTCAAAAATGACTAAGCTATTGACTTGAGGTAGAGCTAGTCTTTTTTGAGTTCATCATGAAACATTATGAGACATTCTTTGTTCAGAATCAAATTTTCTATCCATTAAGAATATACTGGGTGCCCTATTAAGAAATTACATTGGACTTTTACTTACACAAAACATTGTTGATGCCATAACTGTCCAGTAGAGTTGACGATTTTTTCTTGGGGTTCAAAACCTTCTCCACACTTGGAACATATCATGTTGTCCCTAGACATGTTAGTAAGCCTGAAGAACAAAAATATTCCTTATTATTTTCTGAGAGTTTTCATGTTTTGATGATATTGCCCAAAGAGTAGGTACCTAGTCAAATTGTTTTTTGGTATGAATTTGGGTACAGAGTTTTCATCAATATTATCCAGGGCCACATTATCATAACTATCATAACGATGATATGTTGATGATAAAATTTGTTCTTTGGTTTGACTTCTTCTTTTCAATAAGAAACTATCTGCTACTTCCCCAACTGTTGGTATTGGAGGGGATTCATCTTTGAAAATAGGCATATTTAGCAACTTATTTGAATACAACCATATACAACTGACTGTTTAGAGGACAGTCATCTAACTAGGTTATTTTCAATCATTTAATTACTTACACTAATGATGCTAAATAAACAATATAAACTTTATGAAGATATTAACAGAAATTTGCTGTACACTTTGCAATTTTATCATTTGAACAAATAGTGTTTATCTCTTATCTAGGATACAGATATACCTATAACCTTGATAGGATTTTTCATTTCTTATTTGTGAATTTGAAGGTGAGTTCCAACTATTTTCTTTCTTTATATGTTGTTTGATCATAAAACTATTTTGAAAATAATAATTTAAATAATTAATTATGAATATTTGTTGGAATGTTGAAGTATAAGAGAAAAACTTGATAACTATTATACAGGCAGGGTGATTTAGTAGAGGTAAGTCATGTAGTTGTCATTTGCACTCCTAATATAGATAGGTAGGTATATCATGTAATTTGAAGAATAAAGTTAAAAACTCTGTAATACTGCTCCTATTTTTTCATTATCATAGTGATTGGTTAGTTATTTCATGTTGAATAGTTCAAATACAAAAATGTTGTAGGCCACAAACACCAAAATGCAGTTTTAAAAATAATTGAAATGTGTACTGGATTTTGAAATAGTGCTTGAATGTGAATGCATGAATACCTGCTTAATCTTCATCTATTTTTGAAGAGTCAGTGAGAAGCTGAACTTAAGCTTCAACACATGATAATTGGGCTGTAATTAGGTGTGTGATAGGTGCTAAAATATTCAATATTTCTGTAAGCTGTTAGTATGCCATGTGACTTAGTAAATTAGCATTTTATCACATTTTATGCTTACCCAGGCATAGGGGTTGGTGACATTATTATGGCTCAAAATGTATGCTGAAAATAATAAATCTGCTTGTACATATTTGTGATTGTCACACCTACACATTTCTTTCAATACCCAATTTTCAGATTACCTACAACAACCTATAACCATCTACAACTACAAGGTGATGTAATGTACTGCACTGCATCAATACTTCTACTTATGGATATGAAAATAATGGACTTGAAGAGATCTTGGAAGTTTGCTACATAAACATGTGTGCTCAACTTAGCTCAACTTTACTATTCATATTCATATTTAAGAAATTCAATTTATTCTCAATCAGGCCTACACCAAGAAACCCACTCAGATCACTGCTTTGCTTATGTCCTCAAATATGTTCACCAGTAGTAGGTATTCACTATTCACCTTCCAAAAATAGGAATAGATAAAAATTACCAATATTTAACAAATTGGTGGGTTGCTGGATTCAAGGACAACAAGTTGAAGAAACTATCAATAATAACTATAATAAGTATTCTTCAATTCTTTAGAGCAATTTCCTTACATCAAAATATATTTTCTCTGGAATGAGAATGAATGAAACACGCCCAAATACCACAAATTCAAATATACAAATATATGAATCAGAATTTCACATCTTTCATAAATAATCTTTCTATCTTCTCTCTTCTGCTTCTGACATCTGACTTTCTGACTTTTGCCAATCTCGCTTCGCATCTCTTCTTCTGTCTTCTACCTACCTACTATTTCTACTTTTCTAGTCTTCTTCTAGTTTTAAACAGAAACGAAAAGAGAACAAACCAATGAGAACAAACTACAATCTTGTCACACGTCACACTTGTCTTGTTATCTGTCCTGTCATCTCTGCTTAGTGCATTTCTTCAAAAAACATCATAAAAAAAGAGTAAAGACCTGAGAAACAGATCGAACTTTCAATTAAACCCAAAACATAACAGAAAAATAAAAATGTGGGACTCGGCAATGTTTTTGAGCACATTAACACCAAAATTCTATGTCGCTCTAACGGGAACTTCATCTCTTATCTCTGGATTGATTTTAATATTTGAGTGGTGGTATTTTCGGAAGTATGGAACTTCTTTTATAGAACAAGTGTCGATAAACCACATCAGCCCTTGGATCAGCGGTGATTATGGAGATAATACTAACTCAAACAGTAATAATTCCACCAACGTTCAACCACCAGTGCCAGAGTGTAAAGTGTGGAGAAACCCTTTGAATCTATACAGAGGTGCTGAGTATCAAAGGTTTTATTGGGCCACCAACAAGGAGCCACTAACATATTATGACATGAATCTATCAGCTCAAGACCATCAAACATTTTTCACCTGTGAAGCAGATGCTGGGAAAGCTGAATATGAAATTATGCAAACTGCTTGGAGAGAAAGGAATCCTACAGTGAGACTGAAGGCAGCACACAATGCTCTGGAAAAGAATCCTGAGTGTGCCCCTGCTTACATTTTGTTGGCTGAAGAGGAAGCTACAACCATCACAGAGGCAGAAAAAATTTTAAAGCAAGCACTCAAAGTTGCTGAAGCTAATTATAGAAAATCCCAAGCATTGCAGGTATATTCTGGTCATGATTTTGTTATAATATATAGTTTTTTGAGCACCATTTTAATATTGAAAATGAGAAATCTGAAAATGTATTGGCCCTTTTATTTTTTTAGCATCAGGGAACTTTGATGGAATCCCAGCATAGAAGGGATACAAATGTGTTAATCTATGTCAAGAGACGCTTAGCTATGTGTGCTAGAAAATTGGGCAAACTCAAGGAAGCTGTCAAAATGTTTAGAGACCTCACAAAAGAAGTCCCTCCTATAATGAATGTCTTGAACATACATGAGAATTTGATAGAAGTTTTACTTGAAATGCAAGCATATGCTGATGTTCAAGCTGTTTTAGCCAAGTATGATGATATATCCTTGCCAAAATCAGCCACAATCTGTTATACTGCAGCCCTTCTGAAAGCTCGCCAGGTAGCAGACAAATTTTCACCTGACATAGCCAGTAAAAGAGGCTTAAACACAGCTGAAATGGCTGCTGTTGAAGCTATACACAGGGCAGTGGAGTTTAATCCTCATGTTCCAAAGTATTTGTTAGAAATGAAACCACTGATACTGCCTCCAGAACATGTTTTGAAAAGAGGTGATTCTGAGGCTTTAGCTTATGCTTTTTTTCATTTGACTCATTGGAAAGCAGTTGAGGGGGCCCTGAATTTGCTCCATTGCACTTGGGAAGGGACTTTCAGGATGCTGCCATACCCTCTGGAGAGGGGCCATCTGTTTTATCCCTATCCTACTTGCACAGAATGTGCAGATAGGGAGTTATTGCCAGCATTTCATGAGGTATCAGTGTATCCTAAGAAGGAGCTTCCATTTTTCATTATCTTCACAGCAGGTTTGTGCTCCTTCACTGCCCTTCTTGCTCTATTGACTCATCAATATCCAGATTTGATGGGAGTTTTTGCTAAATCTATGGTAGGGTGGATGTCCATGCCACTGTATTATTTGTATGAGAAAGTAGAAGGGATTTTGCCATCTAATTTGCTGCAGCAGCTGATAAGAATTTAACTTATGAATATGACAAGATTTCTCAATTCATTCAAATATGCATCATCGTACTTAATATTTTTAAAGTAAGTGTTTTTATTTATTGTGTTTAGTAAAGTATTTGTGCATAATATTGCATTTTATTGTGAATTTTCTGCTATGCTATTGGAACACCCAATCATGTAATTGGATAAATTGAATAGTATAATGAAAATTTGTATTATGTGGTAAGCTAGTATATTCGCCACCGCCACGATCTAATTTGAAAAAATATTTATTTGAAATATTATTTTGATTTTTTGTTTTTCTTTCAAAAGTTTTAGTCAAAACCTCACATTCACCGTGGTCACCTCTTCTTCTTCTTCCCTTCAATTTGAATGGCCTTAGCTGCCTGGGCTAGCTGGCCAAGTACACGCCTCCGTGGTCCCTACTTTTCTTTTTCTACATTTCCTCATCCTGATCGTGGTTTCTTGGCCTCTTACCCAGAGTTGGACATCCAGCTATTAGCGAATTTTGATTCATTACCAAGGCACTGTAAAAAGTTTCGGGCAAATGGCGCTGTGACTAGTATCTTTTAACGTCAGAGTCTCAGTGTTTTATCTTCTTTCTTCCCTTCAATTTATATAAAGAAGAAGATTTGAGTACGTCATAATTTCGTGATGTGTTCATGATGTGTCAAAAATTGAAAAATTATCTCATATATAAAACCAAAACCTAAAATCGGTAAAATATAATGTTACTTCGGGAAAAAAGAATATAAAATAGTGTAAAAGTAACCGTTTAGGAGACGGAGAGGGATAAAAAATGATGAACGGGTGTGTGGTAATTTTACTGGTAGTGATTTTGCAATATAGCTCTGCCACTGAATTAACTTTTGAATTGCCTGATAGTGCCAAAGAATGTTTCTATGAAGAAATTAAGAAAAATACCAGTTGTACACTAGAATTCCAGGTATGAAGTAATTCTTATATACTTTTCTTAGTATATAATCTTCGTTATAATTTTTTTTTGAGGTTGTGACAGGGGGTCAGTATGATGTAGACATTGCTCTTGAGGATCCAAGAGGAAATGTTTTGTATAAACAGATCAAAATGCAGTTTGATTCCCACACTTTTGTTGCGGAAATGTTTGGGATTTACAAGGTCTGCTTCAGCAATGAGTTCTCTACCTTTTCACACAAGTTGGTTTATATGGATTTCCAAGTAGGAGATGAACAACCTCTACCTGGAATGGGTGAACATGCAACAGTTCTAACACAGGTATGACTTCCCTAAATTTGGTTTGTTTTATGTCTATGAAACTTTAGCTTGAGTTGATTTCATTCATTCAAAATCTTCATTTTAGTTAGAAGCATCTGCACAAGATATTCACAAGTCCTTGAACACAATTCTAGACTACCAGACTCATCATAGACTGAGAGAAGCACAAGGGAGGAAACGTGCTGAAGATCTGAATGAAAGGGTTTTGTGGTGGTCCATCATGGAGACCCTAGCTGTTATAACAATTGCCTTTGGCCAAGTATTTGTGCTGAAGAACTTTTTCACTGAGAAAAAACCTCTCACACAATTTCGATGAATAATTTATTCCCAAGAATAGTGAATTATTTTTTAATGCTGTAAATATTACATAAAACTCAGAAAATATTGTTTACAGAATCATCATTGTTATTAGTCTATCAATTCATGAGGGATTTGATAAAGAACAAATGTTAATTACACTCAGTTTCATTTCATTCAAGTTATCTAGAGACTTGTCAACAATCATCAAGATTTTAGAGTGAGTTGTTTTTGCAAATCTGACTGAACCAAATTATTTTTGACCTTTATGTAAGCAAGCCTGTTCTGAAAACATTTGTTCATTTTGTTAAAGCTGGATATTTTTTAAGATATAATCATAAAGAACTTGAAAGTGACTGGCAAAAAAAAACACTGAACCTGCTTTAAAGTGAATTATGAATATTGATAAATAAAAAATATGTTTTGGTTGAGATACAATTTTTGTTGAGTCATAGGTATATCATTTTTATAAATGATTCACAAGTGATTATTGTCCATTTTTAGTTTGATTCCCTTCAAAAATATTCCCTGTAATAGCTGATATTCAGAAAATATAAGGAAAATTCAAAGAAGCTGCCACTATAGACATCCCTAAATCAAAGTTATACTTTTGAAACCTAATTCCAATAGTTTTCATAAAGAGGGTTGTTGGTTTCAACCACACTATATTATCATTGTGTAATCCCAATGATTCAAAGGCAAATGTGAAACTTCAGCATTTTCTACTGCCTGCAGACTTTGATTTCTCAAGATAATTTGAAGGAAACTGCCAGAACCACTTTGAATTGGGCAATTCTGACTTCTTAATTCTTTCATTGAAGTGATTATTTAGAGGAACAGGCACACCTTTCTAGAATTCACAATTATTTTTGGAAGATTAGTTGAAAAAATACCTGTTTCACTTCATCAACTTGCAATTTGTTACCTACACTAAAAATTTTGGATCCTACTAATGTTGAATTTATATGCACAGCTCAACTTGGTCCTAACTTAAAAATAGTAAGTGATACTGGTTTATCTAAGGAATCAATCTTTAACTCAACATTCACATTCTAGAATTATTAAGTCAGGACAAAGTTGTGATTGATTTGATCATAAGTCATCTTCTCAGGGTAATCAGTTTTTTATACCTTAATGTACTTGTTTATCATCACTAGATATGTGGGGACTATCTAGTATTCATTCCATCAATTTTTTTGTTGTTAATAAAATATTAAAGTTCAAATAAACACACTTGAACAAAATATAAATAGAATAATTTTTTTTACCAGGTAAAATATTTATGCAATGAACAAACTCATGAAAATAAAATACACATTCTTACTGATAAAATAAAAATGTATTTAAAGTGAAATGATTTTGAACAATACAAGAGGAATTCTTACATAATAGTCAGCCTTTTTCCTACCTCATTCATATTGACTGACAATTAATAGTTATAACAACAACAAAAACATAATATATCATCAGCAATATAAAGCAAACAATATTTAAAAATTAAACAAAAAAAAATACTGTTGCAATAACAAAATTAATCATCTTAGGACTTAACCAAGTACACTATTCTCTCATAATTTCAATTGTTATTAGGCCATTGTTTTATCCAAAATGCTCTCTAAAGCCTATTGCAAATTGCACAGTTGAACAGCATCCTTAATAAATTTTCAAATTGAGTTGTCCATGATAAGACAATTATATCGTTTCAGTGAAAAAATCTGGTACACTGTGGAGACTGAAAAACTAGTCTTGGACTAGCAAATTTATACCATTTCTTGATATTTTTCAAAACTATCACATTTTGCAATCTATTTCTACTCTCATCTATTGTAGAGATTCAAACAATATAGATTTACTTGGATCGGATAAACATTTTGCATATGTAGTATTATCTACTATATGCAGTGCTAAAACTATGAATCGAAAGTTTTTTTAGCGAAAATAGCATCTGGGACTGAAAATTAAAAATGAAAAAATATTGACCTGGAAAAATCTTGTATTCAATTTGACCCTAGAATACAGGGTGTTTCATAATTGAATGTCAATATTTGGGGACGCAATTCTTGGGCCCATTCTAAGAAGAAAGTTTCATATGAACGAATGACCTAAACATCCTAACTTTTGAGATACAGGGTGGTGAAGTTCTCAAAAATTAATAGTTTTTTATTAATATCTGTAATACCACTTCAGATATTCTGATGAAATTTGGCATACATGTACTATGTATCAAGAGGCATCAGTTAGCGTACCACATTTTTTGTTGTTGCCACCAGTGGCGTTCGTATGGAATTTCACATACCTATTTTGGCAGACATTGATGGTACGCCACTGATTAATCTCCAAATTGAAATCATTCCTGAAATTCCCGATCATTCCTAAGCAAATTTGATCACTACAATTTTTTCAATCTGATGCACGGTTTTCGCTTAAAAATAAAAAGCTTTTCACTACATGATTATAGTAATATTGTTAATATGACAATATCACAATGCAGAGAAATAGTTTTTATTTTTAAGATCAAATTTCAGAAATACAATTCATAGTTCATGAACTTTGTATTCGTATTTGGTATTTTCGAATTATAACGTCTCATTGTAGTAGGCTATATTAATTTTCGAGAATTTTACCACCCTGTATCTCAAAAGTTGGGACGTTTAGGTCATACGTTCATATAAAACTTTCTTCTTAGAATGAGCCCAAGAATCGCCTCCTCGAATATTGACATTCAATTATGAAACACCCTGTATATCATCTGTCACATCATACTAAAATTTCAGAACCTAAATGAGGCAGTTTTTTTCAAAAAGTGAACAAAACTTCATTTCTTACCAAGAGCAAGTTAAAAAAATAATAATTCATGTTTTAAATTGCCCATGATTTTGGCGTGAGAAGAAATAAGTAGTAGTAGTATTAATAAGTAGAAATAAATAGTATCTTGATGTCACAGATGATTTCAAATAACTGGTTTTACATATACCTAGAATCTTTGAAGCCCAGAAAATACAAGGTGTTCATCCTAATACTTGACATATAAAATCAAACATTAGTGTTTGCATTGCTGCAAAATGAAACTGCATAAAATAAAAATCAAAAAAAAGAAAGGAAAGTTTGAAAGTTGATTCAAAAATTCATTTGTCATCACATATCACATAATAATGCAAGTTTATGAGAGTGATATTCAAACTGAAATATTTCACTTGAACTGAATTGAATCAATTAAAATGCATTCTATTGAATTAAAGTCTTTGGAAAGAACGCATCTTAACTGATTTAGTTCAGTTCTAGTAAAACATTCCAGTTAAGTTCAGATAAAATATATCAGAGGAAAGTTCATCAAATGTTTCATTCAAGTGAATGGAAGCTACCAATGAATGTCAATGTTATAATATTCTCTTTCTCAATTTCTCATAGAGAAGTCCAGCTAGCACTGAGAGAAATAAAATATGTCTTCCACATCTGTTCTTGTCTTCAATGTTCCAACATTGAATAATGAAAATGAATGTTGCCAACATGAAATTTTCAATATTTTACGTTGGAACACTGAAGACAAGGACAGATGGGGAAGACATACTTTCTCTCTCCAATCAGGTTTTCAAAGAATAAAGTAGATCAAACCCTTCCATTAGATAAAAATCGATAAAAAATGATTGGCAACAATGTTTTAGGTTTGTTTTAGGGCATGCACTCCATGATGGCGATTTTGTCAAACTTGAAATTCAACCATGAAGGAGCGCAAAAGTCGACAACTGAGTTGTCCTCGTCCATGAACAACTGTCTTTTAGAACTTTTCTTCTCCGGACGTTTCTTGATATGTTTGACATCCACAGAGTCTGCCTTTTGTACAGATTTCGTCCTAATCAAACACAAAGTATAAAAAAAATTAATAAGTGGAAATGGTTGAGGTCTCATTGATTGTTTGTTTTGGGATTGTTGATAATCAATAATTCCAAATGATCCCATTCATTTTGTACATGCCAGGACCCCGCACTTTTTCAATATGAAAATGGCGTTCTGTCGAATTCTCCGAATTTCTAGTATATTATAGAACTCGACCTAATGATCAAATATGCCGAGTCTCAATCCCATCCTATGACCAGTTTTTCAGATACAGGGTGTTGAAGTTGAGAAATGCCCCCTTTTCATCTACTCATATCTCCAAGAAAAGACAAATGAATAAGAATTCTCTGCTAGCAGTTTTTTTGTTCAACCTGTGGGTAGGAGAACCATGTACAGAATCAACCAAAGCTGAACTTTATCACAGGGTGATTCACATTTGAATTATTGTGTTATTTTCAATTTCTAAATATCGATACTACAACTTGAAAAAAAAAAATAAAAAATCAAAATTATCATTCGATATGTTCTTCTTACATGGAATTGATTCATTTAAGGAATAAAAAATACCGGGTTTAATTGGGTTATTTCAAACGATTACGAAGATATTCACGTTCGAAGTTTCCATAAATTCAATGGGTGTGACTTCATTCTCTGTCACACTATTCGAACGCAAATATCTTCCTAATCCTTTGAACTAACCTAATCAAACCCGGTATTGATGAATTCGTTATAATAAACTTCAACCGATTATGGAATAAAAAAATACGGGGTGTTCCATTTGCGAATCGAAAGTTGATGTCATTTCCAGAAAAATCGGAAGTTGAAAAAATTCATAAAATGTGAGAAAGTGCCCTCTAGTGAGCATATTCGATGATCCAAATTTCAGAAATGTAGCTAGAAAAACAAAGGACAAAAAGGGGGGTATACCATGAATCATTGTCACCCAGTATGGTGAGCATATTATATTGAATTCATTTTCTTTGTTGAATTACTCATTTGATATCCGTGAATTCGGTGGTTCAATGTCCTACCTGTCTGACCTAAATATGCCTTAAGAGATCTGTGCTTAGAACAAGATACACAGTCCAGCCTGATTTTTTGAATTCAGAAGTTGTGTCTATAAATTATGATAAAACTTCCGGACGTATATTATTTGTGATGGTGATCTGAAACCTAGACCTCAACAATTCAATGTTTTTGAATCTGTTGTCTCAAACAGGCAGGTAATATTTCCAATCACTCTATCACTCAATTTTAATGACTTTAATGTAGATAATATTCATACTTTCCCGAAATGAAGGAAAATCTAATAACAAATCATCCAGCATGCAGATATAAAATCACAAAATAACAAATACACAAGCTAAAGCATACAACTTTCTATAATTATTACTCTTGGGCTTAGTACATCATATTGAGATGATGAAAAAGTTATAATATCAAAGGAATATTCTCAGATATATTATGAACATGAAAAAATGGATATATTTTTATTTTTATTGACCTCTAATCACGGATTTATGATTGGAAATTTATCATACAACAAAAAAAAAGTTATAAATCCATCATAACATTCATTGTTGCCAGTTCTGAATTTCAATAAAGCTCCACATGTCATTTTTTCTACAAGAGAGGAATGGACTGGCAATACACCAGGTTTGCTTCCTGCCAACGAATCAACCTGGTTCACGGATGGCTCAAGGTTTGGTGGCGGGTCTGGTGCAGGAGTATATGAAGGAGGAACAGGGAAAGGTACCTTTTGGCAAATACGCTTCAGTGTTCCAGGCCGAAGTGTTTGCAATTCTGACGTGTGTCCAAGAAAATTTCGGCAGAAGTGGACGTGGACCAGTCACCATATGCTCGGACAGCAAAGCTGCTATTATGGCATTGAGATCCAATAGGATCACAACTAAATTGGTGTCCGAGTGTAGAAGTGCCTTAGAAAATATGGCAAAAACTAGGAAAGTCAGCCTCATGTGGGTTCCAGGACACTCTGGTATCCCGGGGAACGAGGAGGCAGACATACTAGCCAAGATCGGTTCAGGAACGACACCCATTGGACCAGAACTTATATTGGGAATGCCCTATAGGACGGCTATGTCCTTAATGAAGGAAATGCTTACGAGGCAGTTCCTTGAAACATGGCGGGACACACCAGGAATGAGACAATCAAAGCTCCATATAAAGGAACCTTCAAAAAGGCTCACGAGAGAGATCCTGTCACTTATTAGAAGGGATCTCAAGATGGTAGTTGGGCTCTTAACTGGGCACAACCACCTCAACAGGCACCTAGAACTCATACTCACTGAATGCCCCGCGCTGGTGCATCAGAGGAAAGCTGCCTTTGGGAGCATTGTACTTTGTACTGCACCCAAAGGATGTGGAAGTGACTCAGCTGAGGAAGCTGCTGAATTTCGTCAAAGAAATCGGCATGCCCAGCTGATTCACAGGACAAGTGAGCGCACAATGGGCCCGATTGAAGAGGCCTGAGTGCAGGGGTCTACGCACCCGCCCACCTGTGCAGAGATGGAACTTATTACTCAAGATTAAACAACTTGGTGCAAGAATTGTGTGAAAAAAAAAATAGTTGTTTCAAGAAATACCATCTCTGATCTCCACAAAACAATCAGAAATCAGTGTTTATACAAAGTTGTTATTGATCCACAGGGAGTGGTCCTCTAGTGAGAATATGAACAGCGTTGCCATAAAAAAAATGTTTAGTAAATTTAAAGTGGAATATATCTTATATAGATCGGGTGACCGTTCTATGCGGACTGCTGGCTGTTTACAGGAGTTGACTATTTAAAAAAATATATATATTTTTTATTATAGCAAATTTTTTCAACAATATAAACATGTATCACACGATTTTCTTATAAGAATGTGCGTGTGCTACGTTTAATAATTAGAAACTGATTTTTACTATTTTCCTTTTATCAACTACACTTATGATAATGAAAATTATAACAGTTTACAATAGAGGTTAAGAAATAGTAACAATGTAATTATGAAATCTAATGCAATGCAATGCATACAACAGACATAATGAGTAGGAAATTTTATTATCTAGCAACCAGAAGACTATTTTTTTCTTGTTATACTTGTAATGACGATTTTTAAATTGTGAGGGTATGATATTGAATATTTTTGGCGCAATATAATGAAGTGATCTTTGTATTGATGTAAAGGATGTGTTAGGAATTGTGACGTATTTCAGACTTATAGCTCTAGTAGTAATAGGATGCGAAATTTTTTGCATTATATACTTATTATTAAGTATTACTCAACAAACATTTTTTATGTGTAACTGTTCAAGATTCAGAACTCTAGCCTCGTCAAACACTTGCTCTGTGGAGAATCTTCTGTTTTTAAATAGTATGATTTTTAGGATTCTTTTCTGGGCTATTATTAGTGGGGACAGAACGTATTCACAGGCTGAGCCCCATGCAACAATACCATAATTTAGAACCGACTCTGCTAAGGCCCTGTATACATTTATTACGTTATTCTTTGGCAACCAATCCCTAATTTGATAAAATTTGTAATACATTTTTTTTAATTTCGTTGTTACATACTCGACGTGATACTGCCACTTCATGTGTGAATCAAAGATCAATCCTAGATATTTTGTTTTAGGTAGTAATGAGATTTTGTGAGTGCAATTGCAATTATAAAAGTCCTGACAGTTAGTGGTGTGAATCTTTATTGTGTTATTACAAGGATAGGTTCTCTTATTTAAGGTAAAACACATGAAGTTAGACTTGTCCACATTAAGCGCCAGTAAGTTAGTAGTAAGCATTATAACTGTGCCATCTGCGTAACAGACCACCTCTCATCCACATTTCATTTGGATTAGGTTATTTATATAGATGGTGAATAAGACTGGACCTAGCACTGTGCCCTGTGGCACACCGCATTCTACCAGGCAACACTCACTTATTGAATCTCCAACTTCGACCTGCTGAGATCGCTGATTGGGATAGGATTTACAAGTCCAAAGCAATACCTCTAATACCCAAATTGTACATACTGTCTAGTAAAATGCTGTGCGACACAGTGTGTGTATATGATCTTAGCTCTTACTCAGTTCACATATAGGGTTGATGACATAAACGCCAAAAATAGTGCCATCTGACATGAAGCACAGTTAATAGTACTCACCTCAGTCTCGTATGCACCTCGCCTTCGCAAATACTAGCAGATTTGTGTCTATTTCTTCTGGTACCAGCACCATTACAAATCTGTTTCAGTCTTTTGACGAACGGTAGTACCATAAAAAATGCAGTTGGGTTCACTCCCATTTTCAATTTTGGGGTAGAATCTTTCTTGTTGTTGGGCAAATCGGATATTGGGAACCATGAACAGGCTTTTATTTCACAGCGCGTCTTGGGACTGAATTTTGTCGTCATTGGGACATTTTTTATGATGTACAGCCTTGAAATTAGATTGCATTGGAAAATAATAGAGATTGGATAAATCAGTGATACCAGAATTATTTTCAATGAGACTTCATATTTTTAGTGCTGTCTTGAAATTTTCCTCATTACCTGACAAGTTGGTCGTTTATGATAGATTCCAAAAAATCTTCTGGATCTATGTGTCCACTAATATCAAATCCTGTTTCTTCCAGCACCTCTCTGATAGCACAGTGAGCTGGATCTTCTTCTTCATTTACTTTCCCTTTTGGGAATCCCCAGGAAGATTTGGCCCAATAACTCTGGACCAATAGTACATGGGACATATTTTCAGACAATATTATGGCCCCATAGGTAGGAACACTTTGCTTGTATTCCTTCCATTCTTCCAAGATTTCATGCAACTTGTGACTCTCACTTTTCAAAAATGGGATATGCTATTAACAAAATATTGGCTTATTTCGAATTGTTTAGGTCATTTCTTGATGGAAATTTCAAATATCTCACAAACAAAATGATTTAAAGAAAATTCTCCAAAACAGGAACTTTTCCAGTAATGATGTGATTTAAGAATTTAGTGGAAATCTCTCAATTTTTGTGACTATTTTAAAAAATATTTAGCTCTAAGCATGTCAAATGATTTGTAACTGACCTGGAATACATGAGCAGCAAATTCATAAATGCTGCATGCTTTCAAACGACTGTCATTGCTTACATAAAAATCCAAATAGAACCAATGTGCCAACTCAATTTGGAAACATATTCTTATCATGTTTTGTTTGGCAGATTCTGGTACGAATATCAAAAATCTCCTACGAAAAAAGTCCAACATAATATAGTACCTACTACCTACCATAATACAGTATGTTCACGGCAGCAAAGGACCCCGCATTGTCCTTATGGAAAATGGCTTTCGGTTGAATTCCCTAAATTTTTGGTATGATGCAGATTTTGACTTCCTAAGCAAAAGTGTCCATGGGCACAAATAAATCAGCTGACTAGTTTTCTAGATACAGGGTGTAAAAGATGAAAAGTGAAGGTTCCAGCTCAGAATCTTTAACTACTACGAGAATTGACAAAACGCCCATTTATTCATGGAATAACATGCCTGAATGATGGTACAATGTCATCTGGATCTCGTATCCATTATAATTTTACGTTTTGGGCTCTACAACAGGGTGAACAAAGAAAAATCCAATTCGATTAATATTAAACCAACCAGGGTAAGTTCTTTCATGAGAATTAAAGATTCAATGGGCGTGTACACCTTAGTAGAACTTTTAACTCAAACCATGTTAATAATGATCCTTTTATACATAAATAATGATTGACGACATAATTCGATCGAAAAAATAACTGGAATGTTTTATTTTTGAACATAAATAATAGTACCTTCTGAAAACGGACCCTCTTATATGACATAGAAACCTCATCTCGCCATAATTAAAAGAAAATACTAAACGCCCGACGGAGGCTGAGGCAACTAATATATTAATTCTTTCAACTGTGATCTCGCGCTAATTCACTCTGTCAGAAATCATTTATCATTCATCTCTGTCTGGAATAGTCTTGTTTCAGTATTAGGGTTTTGACGTCACATCATCGCCTCGTTTTTAGAGGTCCGAGAAATCTGGGATTTCAATAATTTTTTATAAAACGTAGGGAGCTCACAGCAAGAAACGGTTTGCGGTGGTGAGCTTGTTTGGGTGAGTTCTATCGAATTATGAAATACAAATTTCGATTGAAGTTTACTGATTTTTTTTATACACAGGGTGGTTCGGAAATAGGGGTACGTCAATCCCTAGTTTTTTTAATCGGAAAGGAGAGAGCGTGTCACATATACCGGGTGTTTCTTAAAAGTGGCTCACCCCTATAATAATAACCAATTCGGACTCTAATGGAGTATATCCGGTATCAATAAAATCCGTACATTCAAAAGTATATAGCCGACAAACGAGTCCGGAGACCTATACTAATATTGATGACAATATCTCGGACTCCTAAAATCGTACATTATATCAAAAATTCAAGAAAATTAACCGATTCTTTTTCGAAATACAGGGTATTCATTGAAAAAAACGCAATTTTTCAAGAAACTTGGACTGTATCTTTTTACTCACCCCATATATATGAAATGAGTATGCGACGTTCTCAACGTTAAAGAATGTCTGATATATATCTGACGTGCTCTCGCCTTTCCGATTAAAAAAAGCGAGGTATTGACGTACCCCTATTTTCGAACAACCCTGTATATAAAACAAAAATGTCAGTAAACTTCAATGGAGATTGAAGAAGTTCGTCTAGACTCAATTGGATCTTTAATTCTTATGAAAGAAGTTACCCTGGTTGGTTTAAAATTAATTGAATTGGATTTTTCTTTGTTAATCCTGTTGCAGAGCCCAAAACGTAAAATTATAATGGATACGAGATCCAGATGACATTGTACCATCATTCAGGCATGTTATTCCATGAATAAATGGGCGTTTTGTCAATTCTCGTAGTTGTTAAAGATTCTGAGCAGGAAGCTTCACTTTTCATCTTTGACACCCTGTATCTCGAAAACTAGTCAGCCGATTTCTTTGTGCCCATGGACACTTTTGCTTAGGGAGTCGAAATCTACATCATACCAAAAATTCAGGGAATTCAACCATAAGGAAAGTGGGGGGTCCTTTGAAAAAAAAAATCTAGCAACCAATTTTGCAACAAAAAAGCTGGAACATTTCTTGAGTGAACTCTGATTTTTTGAGGGATATTGTCCTCTTATTATTTTAATTCAAAATAACATTCTGAATGCAACCATGTGCCTGCCAGTTTTCATGATGTCCAGAAAGAACAACAGCATGCCAAAATACAAGAAGTAGTATCTAATATCTAAGGACCCCAGTTGCAGAGCTCTTAAAATCCACCACTTGTGGATTGTTGATAGAAAAAATAAGATATAGGTAGATCTACAACTTGCAAACTTTTACACTTCCATTTTCATAGATATTCAATGGATCTAAAAAACTAGTTATTGATGGAAATGAACCTACTAATGAACAGAATCATTGAAAATATAAATCCTTATTACACATGCATGATATAAATAGTGGGCCTTGGATAAAAATAGTTCAACTTCATCAGAAAAATAAGACACTGAATTTGAAAGGAGAAGGCTTGGGAGAAGGGGTGTCCTGCTTTCAAGAGGACACTCTGGAAACTGGAAGACAGACTGTCTATTAGTGTCTATCTATATCTGCATGTCAAATGAGTAAGGATGCCAAACCTTTCTCTGCTTCCTTTGAAAAATTATGACATAATGAGGATCTTATATTCAGAGGGGTCCATAAGGGACCTTTTTCATTTCATCCTGTATACACAGAACTGGAAGAATGTTGCCAGTTTTTCAGTTCATGTTCTGAATAATTGTTCATATGACTTTATAGAGGCAATGAATATTTACCACAAAAATGAATTACAATGGTATTATTTTTAAATAATAGACCTAGTGGTCTTTTGAATAGAAAAGATTCCATCAATTTGCCTTTCCTTTGTTATGTATCACCAGATGCATGATGCATCTCAAGTCCCGAGATAATATTTTCCTCATCAATCTCATTTCAATACCTGGTAATAGTGGTAATTGAAAAATCAAAATAGATAAAGTAATGACAATGTTGACATAACAAATTTTAAAATAAATAATAAATACTTACGTCAAAAGGTCATTTAAAATATCTATCGGAATTGAATGTTCCACGGCTCTCTTATCTTTTTCTTCCATTTTATTTCCTGAAATCCAACTAAACAATCTCAATTCAACAATCTCATGCGCAATAATTGAAAAAATAAACTTTGATACATTTTTTTAAGTCGGATCGGACATTTTGTTTTTTCTTGTGTTTTGTGTTGTTGTTTTGACAGTTGTGACGTGACGTATGACCTCGACTTGCGCAGGCGTGATTCTGGCAGGAGTCCTGTGTTAATTTTTTTCGAAAATTTCAAGTTGACTGATAAATTGACTTTGAAAACGATATGAATGGATATAACTAGCTATAATAATGAAAGCAGCAAATATTTTCATGTTATTTTTTGATCTACTCACTGCATTGAAAGCATTTGCTCCCTCATTACACAAACCTGTCAATTTACTCCCACGGGAGAAAACATTAAATTTTGTGATTTTATCTCCCATGGAAGGTAAAAGGTAAAATAAATTGGCTTCAGCTGGCTTCCTTGGTAGAGACAGAGATAAGTTAACTTATCTCTGGTAGAGATAAGGTATGAGATGCTATATAAGTACTCAATCAGTGTCTCAAATATCAAATAATAATTTTTTTTTTCAACTCCAATGACCTCATGCACCCTTGCTCATGCACTTCGCACGAATCCGTTTTGCCCAAACATAGGCATAGGCGATTTCTATAGAAAAATTCTTATGGTGATGAAAAAATCAACCATTGAAATGCATCCTCATTTTTCAATTTGTTTTGATATGAATTTTGAACATTATTTGAATTTAGCGGTTTTCTAGGTGTTTTAGAACTGGCAAATTCAGATTTTTACATAAACTCTGTTGGCAACACTGCGCTTAGTTCGTTAAATCGTCACTTCTCACTTGTCACTTTGTCATGTCACTTCGAGTCATTCTCCTCTCCTCACTTCTCTCTCACTTCTCAGTCGCTCTGAGTTGTGTAGTAAGGTGAAGTGCTAGCTGGGACTGACAATAGTTTTTAGATTTATTCTTTGTTCAGCGTGATTTTGCTTACTTCTTTTACATAAAATGTGATTTGGCAAACTTTATGATAATTTTAGTGCGGTTTTTATAAGAAGATATACAACGTGAATCGGCCATGGCTGCCACTTTAACGCAAGAACAGGAAAATGTAAGTACCTACTTTTTTAGTAAACAAATGTCTATTGAGCATGTAGTTGAGCATTGCTAATAGATTATACACTTCTGCATTTGAAACTATCTAGATCTATGTATCTAGGCTCTATAGGTTTTGCGAGTATACCTATTTCCTGATAATTTTCATGATACCTATATTATATTGTTATTTGATTTGAATTCACTCTGTTGATATTGGGTAGGTAGGTACTTACATTGTCAACATGCAAAAAAGAAATAGGATTATTAACGACCTGCCTGCCTGTAAATAACTACATTATAACTACCCAGCAGTCTTCACTCTTCACCTCGCTTTTCACTTAGATTTTTTTACATTTAAGAAGGTATTGGGTGGTTCAGGAGCAGACCATATTTTTCTATTCCTTGTCAAAAATTCCAACACCTACCTCCTCTCCCTATCCTTGCTAGGTACGCGCGATGTTCTCCAAACATTATAGGGATTCCTTTTCGTTCGCTCCAAAAAATAAAAAACAAATGTTTTAGGAAAAAAGTCAATATAAATAACAAAAAACATGTTTTCTAATCCTTGCTTTGATTTTGAAATACAGGTTGGTGAAGTTGGAAGTACCTATACCTATTACCTTTTTTTATGATTCCCCTGTATACATTTTCATTGTAGTAGCGAGATACAGAAGTGACACAAGTTGTGTTTTCAAAAACCAGTGGAGTACCTACAATGATATTCATCAAAATATCGGTAAGGTATGTAGCCACTGCGACGCCACTGGAATTATTAGAGAAGGAAGTTAGGACAAATGTTAATATTTTTATGTTTTTTGTTTCATGAAAACTAACAAGTAGTCAGTCCCTTGATTAAGTACCTACTCATCAGGTTATCAAAATAATGAATAATGTAAAGAAATACCTACATGTAGTTGTAGTTGATAACTTTCAATCTCGCTTTCAATAGTGTATTTTGCAACCTCGTTTGCAATCATGTCTGGAATACAGCCGTTGAAAGGTACATCCTGATCATACATCTGATATCTAATTATATCATAGAGGTACCTAGGTATATTATTTTAAAAGTGCTGTTATTTCTTGGTTTATTTCAATCCTCATGAAAGGGTAAATATAAACTTCCGGTTATACTGTCGTCAGATCCGTTGTTGATACCTTGAATTTCTTAATGAATTTTCCTGCTTTCAATCCCGCATCCCGCATTTTAGTTTCCAGTTCACAATATTATTCTAAAAGAACAATGATATTTGTTGAAAGATGTATTTATATCTTTCTTGCTAATTTGATGTGAAAGATAGGATAAATATAGGATATACAGTTCATTCTGATTGATGATGCCAAATGAATCCAAATTCCAGTGAACAATTTTCATTCCATCTTTGAGAAAACTGCTCGGAAAATTGTAACACTAAAGGCCCTTATGATTTTTGCGAATACTTTAAATCGTCATATTTTATGAAACGGATGATCCATTTTACCTCGATTTTACCAGAGAACAACATAATATAGAGAAATAGCAAATGATAGTTATTATTTATTCATGTATCAAGGGCGTAAAATAGGCTTTTATGGACCGTACCGTGTAAGTAAGAGGAGAGCGGATGCGAGGGCTATGAACATAAATTACGTCAGAAATACATCCCACTAAACATTAAAACATAACTTGAACATAAATGTTATATTACATTGTTACTTTGTGATGTTATTTCAGAGAGATTGTCAATGTCACATATACGTTGCGGTAATCATAATCATCTAATGACCTTGGTAACCGCGAATTACAATGTATTGTTAATGGTAAATATTAATAAATATGTCAGGAATTACATATTAAATCAATGTTACTTCATGAAGTATATGTAATGTTACTCAAAACATCTACACAATATTGTTCATTAACATTCTGATTATTTTCTAAGAGGTTTTAGGTTATGTCTATTTTTTCTGAAATCATCAAGAGAATCATCTGAATAGTGACTCTAATCTGAATGACCTTTCGAAAAGACAGAAAACAATCTATCCCTAAATATACAGGGTGTTCGCTAGAAGGAGGTCAATCCATTAACCACATATTCCTTGAACAAAAACAATATGAGTTTCGAAATAACATTTTTCATTTTAGCCCTTCATATTCGATATACAGGGTGTCAAAGTTGGAAATTGAATTGTTTCTGATTACTCGCGTATTTGATAAGATATTAATCTCAAAATTGGTACATTACTTCAGCACAAAGAGTTACATCGTGTGAGGAAAACATAACAGAAAATAACTGTCAAATATTCAAAATACTGGGGGTCATCCATATACGTATTAATAATCAATACGGATAATCTCTATCTGTTTCCATAGCGAAACATGAAGCCGATTTTTGAAGACAAATGACTATCCATAAGGAAAAGTTTTGAAACGATCAGACACATACTGCTTTGATTGAAAGGCTAGTAAACGTTATTGTCCACCGAAACGCATGTCTTTGATGACTACTATAATAGCGCATGGCGCATGCGTATCATGCCACCAAATCCTTATGGATATTCATTTGTTTCATATTTTTGGCTTCATCCTGGCACCCGTTATGATCCGTATTGTTTATTAATACGTATATGGGGTCATCAAGTACACACTTACCCCCATATTTTTTTTGTACGTGCGCTAATGACTTCCTATCTATTTTCCTTCAAGTGTTCAATCATTTTTGAGTATTTTTTGTGTCTTGTAAAATTTCGATTAAATCATTTTTGTTTAAGATAACTCGAAAAGTACTGGTTATTGTTTGATGCCTATGCGGCTTACGTAAAAATTATTTCAATACATTCGCTCTGAGCACCCGGTATTTCCATATTTACCTTTCCGTACGTAATAAGATACGCCCTCTTTTAATTTCGACGAAATCAATAAGAGTATGTGAACATTATGAGATTACCGTAAGCCGCAAGGCATCAAACAATAACCAAACTTTTCGAATTATCTTAAAAACAAATGATTTTATCGGAATTTTACAAAAGTCAAAAAATACTCAAAAATGATTGAACACTTGAAGAAAAATAGGTAGGAAGGCATTAGCGCACGTACAAAAAAAATATGGGGGTAAGTGTGTACTTGACCCCCAGTATTTTGAATATTTGACAGTTATTTTTTGTCGAGTTTTTTGTTTTGTTTTCCTCACACGATGTAAGTCTTTGTGCTGAAGTAATGTACGAATTTTGATATTAATATCTTACTAATTACGCGAGTAATTAGAAAAAAACAGTTTTTAATTTCCAACTTCGACACCCTGTATATCGAATAAGAAGGGCTAAAATGAAAAATAGTATTCAGAAACTAATATTATTTTTGTTCAAGGAATATATGGTTAATGGATTGACCTCCTTTTAGCGGACACCCTGTATAACTGTGTGTATGAATTATTGGTCTTGCAATTATGTCTATTTTTTCTGAAATCATCAAGAGAATCATCTGAATGATCTGAATGATTTTTAGAAAAGAAGGAGAAGATAATCTATCACTGAATAGGTATAACTGTGTTAATTAATTGCCGTACTCCTGAAAATCTACATGAGTATACAGTGTGTCCCACTTACCATGCTCACCATGGGTATCTTTTTAATGGTGAGAGATACGAGGTCGGTTAAATGACACCAAATGTGGAGTTTGTCAAGGCCAACTATAATGTGAAAAAATATTTTGATAAAATCCGAGATAAAATCTATTCGTTTTTGTTTCATACGCAAAAAACAGATTTTGATCATTTTCATGTCTCCTCCGTAACTTCTTTATTTATGAAAATATAACTTTTTTTTCTCTTACAGATGATATGTCGCAGTAATAGTTTTGTGTTGATAACAACGGAGTTATCGCATTTATACAAAAACAAAAAATATTTGAGCCGCCATCTTGAATTTATAAATTTTAACAAAAAAATCATGATCTCCGACCTCAAAAACCCCCACTTACCAATTTTGAATGGAATCGGACCAAATCTTGTCCGCCATCTTGGAGCAGCCATTTTTTTTTAATTTCATCAAAAATTCCATAATGTATTGTCACCAGATTTACGAAAATCTGCCAAAAGGACTCACTTCTGGCCGTCCTATCAACTTGAAATTTCAACTTCAAGATCTAATTTTGAAACAAAAATGGACGACTTTTGAGCCGATTGCTAAAAAACATATTTCCTGTTATCAGTGATAGTTAATGTTGAATCGGATATGATGAAAAAAAATTAAGTGAGTCGAGGAATCTCTGAATTATTTTGAGTCAACATCCCTTGCTCCCAAATAATTTCGGGAATATCCACCTGCAAGGGTAACCTAAAGAGAGTATCCAAAATTCTTTTTTCTGGCTTTTCATATTGTTCCTATTTTCAGATCATTTTATTAAAATTGCAAGGATTGCAACAAACTGAGAACATGTTACTGAATAATTTATAATATAATAAAGTGATGGAGTTGTTGTCAGTCTGGAAGAAATTTAATTTTCAGTTTTAAGGCATTTGACCTCGAACCCTGACAAAATTTTCGCCTTCGGCGCATTTTTACCGTGCAAAATTTTTGGCTGAGTTTCTTGGGATGGTTGACCCCGTTACTGGTAAACAGTGAAATGGAGGTGTTGTCACTCTGAAAGAAATCGAATTTTCAATTTAAAGGCGTTTGACCTTGAAGCCCAAAAAATTTCGCCTTCAGCGCATTTTTTTCATTGCAAAAAATTGTATCTGCGTTTCTTGACCCCCTCCCCCCCGGTATTCATGAAATGACGCCCCTGCAAAGTTGCTTAGTTTGTACACCGAGGGGGTCAACCACTATGTCCAATATGTGTACAGGGTGTGCCAAATTGGGCACTTTTAAAGGGAAAGCCCTATCGATCCGCATATCGATATCTGTCTTTGTTTCCGAATTACAAGGTGTATTTCGAAAATGGGCATTTTTGAAAGTGGCCACAGAGATTTTTTTGTCAAAAATTGTCTGTTCTTATGAAAATGACTGCAAAGCATTGAGTTGGTGATTAAAATTGTT